ATGTATAAACAAGTAAAATCCCAATGTGGCCAAAAAGTTGGAAAGAGAAAGTTTATGGATATAAACCAAGAAGGAGAGGGAATGTGTATGGCCCATCATTAAAACTATAGGAAAAAACTATAAAATTTAAACATCTAAATATATTTATTGAAGTGGTGGGCCACTTTTTTGGTTTATGTATGTGAACCAGTTTATGGTTAATTAAAGATGCCCTAATGAACTCAAGTTAGAGCAAAACCTATATGGTGCATGATGAGAAGGCTAGTCCTGAGGTGAGGATGAGAACCTCAGGAGTGCACGGACATATGTAGGAACCGGCAGACTCAGAATGGCTGCAGGGGCGTATGTGGTAAATGCCAAACTCAATCCAGTGCAACGTAGGCCATTTTTTCCTCCTTCCATGAATAAAGAGTGATGAATAAAGAAAAAAAAATAGTAATGAAAGGGATTGTTTACTGACTAGTACTTGACTTTCGACCTCCATTAGCCACACTAAATGATGAATGAATGACATGGAAAGAACGGAGAATGATGAATAATAAGTTTCTCCAGTTAGACTAAATATCTTTTTTCTACTATTTAAGTTAGCTTGCATGCAATTATTTATTACTGTTGATTTCAAAATGATCCAACAGTGGAAGTTTGATGACAAGTGTAACTCCTGGACTTCCTTACTAGGGAAAAAAATTACAAGAATATGAGAAGGAGAGATTAGTAATATTTTATTTAATGTTTTAATAATTTGATAAATTCCCTCCTTTTTTTTATCCTTTGATAAAAGATAATGTTAATCAAAAAAATTTAAAAAAAAAATATTTCTCACTTTGTTTGTGATGGGATGATGGGATGTTTTACCCCCAGCTCAAAAACAAATATATTAATTAAGATGACAACATGAAAATAATTAGAAATTATATCGGTATAATACTGAAAATCTTTAATGTATAGTTTGTCACATCTAATTATTTGTAATTTTCAAACTCAAATTATGAGGGTACTCTAATTTTTTAAATACAAAGAAAATTATTAATGCTTTCTTTTGTTGTTAATGACCTTTATATTTTTCGTAAAGTAGATAAAGCTCCTTTTATTTGTATTAATATTCCCTCTCTTAATAAAATTAACTATGAACAAGATTGAGATGATAAGGAATCACTACTTGAACTATATATATATATATATATACACACACACACACACACATAGTGGGATGCATACTGTCCATACAAGTTTTTTTTTTAGTTATTTTCTTTTTTTTAAAAAAAAGGTTAGGATGGCACTCAGGTTCCGACTGGCACAAAAAAATTCAAATGGTATACCCAAGAGATATGTTTTGCACTAGCTAGTGCCAGATAGTACAATGCACCCAAGGGATGGATATATGTACTATCCAGTTCCATAGCTCCATCCCTCCCACATTTTATTTCATTAATAATCAAAAAAGAAAGGATAGTGCACAAAACTAAACCTTTCTTTTAAAGTACAGACAAAGTGTCTATTACAAAAGTGCCTATACCATGGGAAAATTATTTTTTCCTCAAGTAAGGCACACCTTCTTGATACATTCCATACAAGTATATGTTGAAGAAATTATAAAATACATTCCTTCATGTAACATGCACGCGCTTCGCACGATCAAAATACATAAGTTTTAGGAGAATTCTCTTTAAGGGCAAACTGAAATTCCTAGTAATAGTGTATAAGTTTCATACTCCTAATTCCTATTAAGGGCGTAAAGTTAGTGATGGTAATAATTCATATGACTCTTTTGTGATTATCTTTCTCCTTCCCATAGTAAGTTGTAGGCTTGTAGGAAAACAATGGAAATGCAGGTTCCAAAATCCAAAATTTTCCTTCACTGTTTCCACGTACCCAAGAAAATACAACCCCTACCCCCCAAAAAAAAAAAAAACAAAAAAAAAAAGAAAAGCAAAGAAGGAAATGATTGCACATCTCAAAATTTACTTAATGCCTCGCTCGTATTAAACCCTTACAACTTCAATGTGCTATCTTATCCTCTATAATTTTATTCATTCTTTCACACATAGAGCTTATAAAAACAATATTTATGTTAGCAACTCCTTAGAAAATTATTTTAGCTTTGGATATTGTGAAGTCAAGTTTTTTTTTTTATATATGGACATCAAAATCTCTATTGTTTACAACTACAATATATTATTGTATCATATGAAAAACGAGCAGGCTTTCCTATTTTTATCAAATTAGCATATTTTGAGAACTGATACGTTTAATTTGCCCATATTTGGCTGAATTTTAGATGTTTTGTGAGTAAAGAAGTAAAATTGATAGTGAAAGCTAAACCCCATATATTTTCTTGTCTTAGGCTTCACAGATAGTAATAGTATGTTGATTAAGAGATATACGGGAAATGGAGATATGAGTAAAAAAGGTCATTTCAATAATAATAATATTATCTACAGTGTTACGTCGAATTATGATATATATATATATATGTGTATATATAAATACATACATGCATACGCTCTTTAAAAAATTTCAACTCTTAAAACGTAGTTAAGGAGAAATTTTCTTATGTTTTATATGGTTACCAGTGATATATTTAAATTTGTTACGGTACTCATTATGTAAGCCCCAAACTTACATAATCTGGTAGGAGAATGTTAATTAAGGAGCTATTTACTTGTGTTATGGAGACTACCAAAGGCCCAGATCTACTTAGAAGATTTTGTTCATTTGGGCCTTGTAAACATGATATGTGTTCAGTCAATTTCATTAATTTTTTTTCACTATGTTAAATTTTGAAATGTAACATAAACCTAAATATAAAAAGTGTTACTACAAAAAAATCATGTCATTAAATGGTGGTGCAACTAAATACTTGTATCCTTTGGATGCCCCAATCTTTGACTTACTTTTCTTCCATCGATGTTACTCAATTTTGGTAACAGTTGTGGCCTATTGTTTTTTGGAAAATGATATGCATAGTGACAAATATTTAGTGAAAAGATATAGTGACTTAGTTGGCCCCTTATTTTGGTGCTATTTTGCCGTAAAATTTATATCTTTCCCTATTAATTTTACATTTTTGCCTTTGATTAGTTTGTACATATCAGTCACTATTAGTTTTTACTATGAGTTTTCACTGTCTCTATCACTGCTGCTTTTTTTTTCTTAAGAGCAACCTGCATTAAAACCCATTCTTGACCAAGCTACCTGCAAAACGTGAAGTAACAACAGAACTTTCATTGCCCCATTTATCTAAAAATGAGACAAAAGTAACTGGGATATCACTGGAATTAAATTATGCACCAATTACCACTAGTAGTGTCGCTCTTATGCAATATTTGTATTAGATAATATGGTGTTTTATTTCTGTAATTTTTGTATATTATAATCTTTATATATATAACTGATTGAAAAGATCATACATGACTTTTAGTTAATGTCTCACACGGCCACACATTTTGAATGAAAGATACATGTCTTGAAATATGACAAGTACGACAACATCAGTTGTACAAAAAAGTATTTTTTAGAAAATTTTCCTTCGGCCAATTTTTGGCAAATCGGCCCGACGAGAGACATGAGTCATGGCCCAAGAGTTTTGGTGGATTTGTATGATAATGGCTGAAATATTAAGGCACTAAAATAGCTCAAAAAAGGGCATGGTATGTTTGGAAGCAATATGCGTTGATTGAGTGTGAACAGTTTCAGAATTTGAGAAGGAAAGTAGAAGCCAAGTGGGAATAGAATTGTTCCAGAATAGGATGCGTGATTAATTGGCAATTAAGGAAGATTCCTCCTTATTTCTTGTTCCTTTTTAATAAGGAAAATTACCAGTAATTAAAAAGATATATTTGGGAAAGAATTCTATTACCAAATTAAGAGCTGATTGTGAGAATAGTCATCAACCGATTGAGAAACTGCTGCAGGAATAGTATCCTACTTTCAAGGAAATTGATCATGTTAAGCTACATTTTCTCCAAGGAATCATAGGACAACAAGGGTTTCGTCCAAGCACTATAAATAGAGGTAGCCATAAAGGGAAAATCATCACCGATCAACCATACAACTAGTTTTCCTTATCCTTTATTATTTCTTTTACCTTTTATCATGTTTTTATCTTCCCTATGGTAGTTCATCACGTTCTATCATGCTTGCTTAGCCCCTAGCTTAGCAATAGAGTTGTTTGCCTTTTTCTCCTACATAGAATTAGGTAGGTGTTCACCGTTTTCTACTCCAACGAATTCAGTTATGCTGTAATTGGTGTTCTAACACTTATGTATGTCGGACTCCCCCTGCACGTCCGTCCTCTCTTTGCCTTCTATGTAATAGCGTATCATCAGCACCGTCTATAGCTTGCCGGCGCTAGGATTTTCTACTTTACGAGTCAAACGCCGCATATTAAAATTTTCCCCACTTTCTCTAGTCTCTACTTGTCTTTCTCAAACTAAAGCCAATAACCCTAAGATCTCGATCCTTATTCGAGGCCGGTTCTAACTCAACCACAATTGTCTGATTTAATTGTGTTTTGGGTGATTCGTGTTCCCTTTTTTCCCATGGTTTCGGGTGCACAATTTTCACGCAAACATAATTTGGCACGCCCAATGGAACTAGTTTTAGTTTTATTTGTAAATCGTGGAAGTCTGTCATTATACCACAAAATTTTTTGTGTCATAAAAAACTCAAAAAAAGAGTATTTTTCTTTTTCTTTGTCATGGCGCATCTAAATACCCAAAATTATGTCTTTGACACTTCTGGAGGTCCGGTTTACACCCTTGTTCCGTATAGTCAATCGCCTAAAAATTCTATCCTTACGTGCACATCCCCCAACATCCAATATAGCTTATCACCACTTGGTGGGCAGATCTGTCAATAATCTCAATCCCCATTGCCCCAGATCCAACATAGCCCATCACCACTTGGTGGGCAGATTTTCCAACAACGTGCATCGGCACAACCTTGTTCTAGGGTTATATATGTCACCGATCAACAATTAGAGCAGCAGATAGAGTGCCATGGTTATAGTTAGTGCCGAAATACTGGTGATCTTCAGAATAATGAAAATCTGTCAGATGATCAGTATGGCATTGATTGGCAATCTAGCAATGCCGATGAACGAGATCAAAGCCCAACAATGCAAGAACTTTCCAGTCTCGGGGGGCAAGCCATTTTTGGCAATTAGTTGCATCAATAAGGTTTCCATGATAGGCTCGATGGTGGTCAGATCAAGGCACATGTTCTATTCGAAGATGGTGGACAACAATCTACGGCTTATGGTCAGGAGTCACAACAGTTTCAGCAACCGATGGTGGCCTTTCAACAGTTGCCGATGCAGTCATAACAGAGTCAGCTATCACTGATGCATATCCGATAATCCCAAACACGGCCAGGGAGGTTTTTGCAGGCCGATCAATGGACGAAACAATCTATGGAGTTGCAATCGATGCCATCTCAGGAGTCCCCAATGGAGTCTTCACAGATTCAGCTATCATCGGCACTAGTCCAGTAGGTTTGCTTACAACCGATTCCGCATCGGAATAATGATTCAGCAGTAGAGCAGATCCAACAGCATCTGCACTGGCACATGTCCACCAGTCATATTCATTGTCGATGGAATATCATGATATTCAGTTGCCATCCGGACTGATCCGACTGGTTTATTCACAACCGAAGGAGCCCCATCAGACTGATCGATCAATTATGTCATTACAGTCCCAGCAGCTGACGCAATTTCTAGAATCAGTTTGGTAGCAAACATCAGCAGAGATCCAACTGTTTTATTCATTACCGATGGAGTCTCAAATGGTTCATAAGATTTCACAGTCAGTCCAGTTTCAAACGCAGTTGCAACTTCAGTAATGGATAGCATCCACATCGGTTCGCTTATCATTGGCATCACCAACATGGTCTTCGTCTATAGAGCAGTCACAGTCATCATCAGCAGAGTCTCAACCGACCGATCGGTTAGTAACGCAGTTGAATGAGATGCCGTTATAGCCATTGTTGCAAGCACAACCACCATTGGTGCGACTTCAGCATATTCAACCATCTCTAGTGCAATCCGAGCAAGCCAGTCCATCTATAGAACCGATCTAACAATCACTAGTACAATCTCAACAAAGGGCAACAATCGGTGACACAAATCCTGCAAATGCAACAACTATTATTGGTAGAGTCTGAATGGATGCAGCAATTACAGGCGTCACCCTAAGAGTTGCAATTGTCATCAAGAGTGCCTCGGTAAGTTGAGCAATCAATGATAAAATTGCAGCAGTCATCATTACAATGTTAGCAAGTGTAGTGATCGGCAGTGGGAAACAAATCATTCTTAGTACATTATGAACCGATCGCAAAATTTGTGTATCAACATCTTCAACAAGAAACGACACAGTTGCAAGAATTAGTGGAGTTGCCTTTGCTAGATCTTCAGGGTTTTAATCTACCATTGTCAACGCAGGATCAGCTATTAGTGTCGATGGAGCAATTACAACCATTGCAAAAGCCATCGCTGGATCAAGAAGTTCACTTTACATTAGTGGTAGTAGCAAGTCAATTGCTGATGGAACAAATACAGGCTCAGGAGTTGCAATCATCATCAGAACAAGATCTGCATGGTCAGGAACAAATAATGCAATCCCACTAGTTTCAGCAACAGTGAGCAGCATTCCATGAGCGGGTGATGCCGTTTGATCAGAAGACGGTATCATTTGATGAGTTCCAAGGGCAGATGTTATAGTTTCAGAGGCAGATGGTGCGAAACAATGAGTTTGATCAGCAAGTGGTGCCAAGTAGATCTTTTCAGAGTTGGTCTCAGTCAAAGCAAGGTCAATTGGAAGAATCATTTTCATCGATTTATGTGCTAATACCATCAATGAAGAATCAGACACAAGCATTGCTGGAGCAGAATCGGTGTCTGATATTCTCAACGCATGATCGGTTATTTCAGTATTTACATTCACATCACCAACAATACGCAGATTATAGACAGATCCACCTGGCGGATGATTTCACAGTGACGCAGTATGTTCAAGACAAATGGTTGGTTGACAAAAAACAGATCTGTGTAGGTACAAGTTATTGTGATGCCAGTCAGAGCGGCGATGGGTTCCAAGGAATTCGTGAACGAGATCAGCAATTCAGAATATTGTTACTGATTGATAAAGGGCCGACTAATTCAGATGGCTGCTATTCTCAAGAAGTTTCTTTGATGCCCAGGGGGTAAGTTGCTGATGATAAATCTTGCTTATTGGATAGTCATGACTTGCAGTTTGGGCGAACCGCTCTACAATGATACACATCAACTTGGAGTTGTTTGTTCTATGAATCCTTACATACTCAGTCCATGAGGTATGGGTACTTGTCAATATCATGTTGATTCAAGTTTTCAGTTCGGTTCTATGATTGATACTAGTGGTGATAGAGGCCAGCTTGCGAGATACCTATCATCCATGTTTAATGAAAATGGGTTGGCTGAGATTGATGATAACCGACGTCAGTTTCACGCATCCATGGTGAACATAGAAGAAATGTTTGATGGTTTGATATAGACATGGAGGCTTGTATGAGGAAATTTGATAATATGGTCCAACACGTCCCAATGGTGGAGATAGCAGTTGAAGCTTCATGTTTTGGTGATTCCGTAGATGTCAATGGCTTTCAAGAGTGTGTTGACCTACAAAGCAAATACAATGAGTCTACAAGCAGTAAGGAGGTAGACGAGGAAATTGATTGCAGAGACCGGTATAATGCAAAATCTCAAGACCATGGTGATAACAGCTTTATAGACAACAAAATTATCGGTTATCAAGGTCAAGGCCATTCGACGATACTTAAGATCGATGTAGTTGAAACAAATGAAACGAAGTTGTCATCAATTGAAGATGGTTTGAAAGATGTGGATACGAGTCTCAATGATCATGGTCATATTTGGCATTCTGGCCCTTCCCATCAAGTTTCGAGTTCCTCACCATTGGAGCACGAAGAACATTGTTGCTTGAATTCAGCCAGGGATGATTTCACTACTACGAGTAAGATGAGGTTGTCATCAATTGAAAGTAGCTCGAGGAAAGTGTTTCAAGATAAAAAGATCCAGTCTTCTGATGATAGGCGTGTTCAACAGTCTGGTTTTATAGCTGACATAACTTCAAATTCTTCAAAACTCAGTCACCAAGAATAGGGCCGATTGATAATGCTTGATATTAATGAGACTAAAGACACTTCGCCGGCAGCTAAGGAAATGTCAAAGGGGTCAATTTGCAATGGTCGGCAGCATGGGACAGCTGCCATGTCAGCTTCTGTTTCTTCATAGTTTAATCAAAAAAATAAAGGCATACTAATGACACTTAGTGTTGATCAAGCCCAAACAAGCGCAACCACATCATTGGTGGCTAGTGAAGTATTCACTGAATTGATTTGCAATGATGGTTATAAGATCGGCAGCTTGATTCGTTGGCTGATTCTGTTTCTCTTGAGCAAATAAATCAAGACCGTTTGAAGACACAAGAGGAGGTCCCGAACAAAGGTGCCATTCGTGATTTTAAAGTTCAAGATGTCGAGAAGCAAAAAGTGACCAGTGCTTTTAGTTCTCCTACTTCGAATGGCCGATTCAGTCCAAAATCGGGCCTTGCTGTTAACATGGCTCAAGAACATAAGAACTGTAGAAGCTATCCGCGAAAGCAAAGATCACAAGAGTCCAGGTCCAGGTCCAGTTCCAGAACCGATAGTGGTTTCAAGGGGAAGCCTCAGGCGTCACATAGAAGTAAGCATGCACCATTCTTTAATCTGCAGCATTCACATTATGCGTGGGTACCATATTATGTTATGTATCCCGTGGGATGGTGTTATGTGGGTGTAAGAGCCACGTGGAATGCGTCTGGCTGGTGGTAGCGATGTGTTTATCAATGTTCATATCAAAGTCATATTTAATATGAACGTTTGGGGGAGAGGGCATTCTGCTCGGCCAGTTTTTGGCAAATCAGGCCGATGAGAGACATGAGTCATGGCCCAGGAGTTTTGGTGGATTTATATGATAATGACTGAAATTTTAAGGCCCTAAAATAACCCAAAGAGGACATGGTACATTTGGAAGCAATATGGGCTGGTTTAGTGTGAACAGTTTCAGAATTTGAGAAGGATAGTAGAAGCCAAGTGGGAATAGCATTGTTCCAGAATCGGCTATGTGATTAATTAGCAATTAAGGAAAATTTCTCCTTATTTCTTGCTCCTTTTTAATAAGGAAAATTACCAATAATTAAAGAGATATATTTGGGAAAGAATTCTATCACCAAATTAAGGGCTGATTGTGAGAAGAATCATCAACTGATTGGGAGACTTCTGCAGGAATAGTATCCTATTTTCAAGGAAATTGACCATGTTAACCTACCTTTTCTCCAAGGAATCATAGGGCAGCAAGGGTTTCGTCCAAGCACTATAAATAGAGGCAGTCATGAAGAGAAAATCATCACCGATCCACCATACAACTGGTTTTCCTTGTCCTTTATTATTTCTTTTACCGTTTATCATGTTTTTATCTTCCCTGTGGTAGTTCATCACGTTCTATCATGCTTGCTTAGCCCCTAGCTTAGCAATAGAGTTGTTTGCCTTTTTCTCCTACATAGAATTAGGTAGGTGTTCACTATTTTCTAATCCAACGAATTCGGTTATGCTGTAATAGGTTTTCTAACACTTATGTATGTCGGATTACCCCCTACACGTCCGTCCTCTCTTTGCCTTCTATGTATTAGCGTGTCATTGGCACAGTCTACAGCTTGCCGGCGCTAAGATTTTCTACTTAACGAGTGAAACGCCGTCTCTTTGGCTTTTCCCCACTTTCTCTAGTCTCTACTTGTCTTTCTCAAACTATAGCCAATAACCCTAAGACCTCGATCCTTGTCCGAGTCCGGTTCGAACTCAACCGCAATCATCTGATTTAATTGTGTTTTGGGTGATTCATGTTCCCCTTTTTTCCACAATTTTGCGTGTACAATTTTTACGCAAATAATTTGTACGAAAAGTGAAATATTAGATTACGCTTAAATTGATCGAAAATGACTCAGTTTGGTTCATTTTTCCTATAGTTATTTCAGATTATTTTATTTTAGTTATAAATGCCTTATTTTAGTATATTTTTTTATATTTTTAATACATTTTTTTTACGTTAAAAAAATACTTAAAAATACGCACTAAAAAGTATTCGAATGTGCTAATGTTTTTTATCGGGGATATTTGACTAGCTTCCCAAATACTGGGGACTAAAATGGAGGTCATTTAGATAATAATTATTGCGGCTTTAAAAGTTGAAACCCTTTGAAGAGATGCTCCGGGGAAGTTTACAACTGGTAGCTTCGTCTTAACTTGCTCGCCTACTGATCGGAGAATCCTATTCGAAAGCGATAACGGTGAGCCCTTAAATCTATTTCCTTTCTTAGAAGCTATGTTTTATTCTCTATGCAACACAGCATTTCGTAATGCGAAAAAATACTATGCTATTTCATGTTCTTTAACTCGTTCTGAACCCCATCCCAATGTCCTTGAATTTCACCAACCGCTTTCATCGTCGATTTCGTTAAGGATCAAAGTAAGCAATCCGCAATAGTCTCTTATCTCAAAGAATCTTGTGGGTTATCTCCGGAAAAAGCCCTTTCAGTTTCAAAGCATTTTCTCAATTGAAAACCACAAAATGCGGACAAGGTGCTTGCTTTTTTGAAGCTGCAACAAGTCACTGATGCTCAGATTTCATCAATTATAGATAGACGCCCGAGGGTCCTGAAAGCCAATCCTGAGAACACCCTTCTGCCAAAGATTGAATTTTTAGAATCTATTGGAGTTTCTAGGTTAGACATTCCCAACTTCTTGTGTTCTGCTTCAGCTATACGTGCTAGAATTAGAAAAACAGATCATTCCAAACTTCAATTTTCTCAAGAGTTTCCTTCATTCAAGTGAAGATATTCTGATTGCTATTAATCGACATCCAGATCTTTTTGTGAAAACATTGGAACGTTAGGTAGTACTAAATATTGGAATTTTGCGAGAAGCTGGTGTCCCTGTATCCGGTACTCTATACTATATTAAAATCAAGGCCAGGCTTTTATCCAGGAGTAAACCAGAACATTTGGCAGCATGTGTGGAAAGGGTCAAGCAAATGGGTATATCTCCCGAAAAGAACAAGTTTCTTCAAGCTCTATATGTTTTGGCATTGTCAACGACATTGACTTGGAAACGGAAGGTGGAGGTTTATAAGAAGTATGGTTGGTGCGAGGAACAGGTTATTGAAAGTTTTAAGAAGCAACCATGTTTTATGACATCTTCTGAATCAAAGATCTTTGCGGTGGTGGAGATCCTGGTACATAAGTTGGGTTATCAAGTTGCCAATTTAGTGTCACTTGCAGCAGTTTTTATGTTGAGTATGGACAAGAGAATTATTCCTAGGTCTTCCGTTTATGAAGTTCTGGTTTCGAAAGGTTTGGTTAAAAAAAAATGTCAGCCTTGCTGTTTGGTTGGCTTGTTCAGAGAAGTTGTTCCTTGAGAGGTTAGTGCTGTGCCATAAGAAGGAAGCTCCTAAGCTTTTGAAGTTACACAGGGAGAAGAGTGGGACCATGAAAGCGAATGGCAGTGGGAACAATGTAGTGTCGGGCAACAATGATGTTCTTTTTTGAATTTGGATCCCTTTTGGAGAAAGTGAGAGATATTGCACAAGATGTGGTCACTTAAAAATGGTGAAAATCTGGAGTGCGGCAACATGTGGAACCTGCTTAGTTATGAATCTTTACCTTTATGTATTCATTCATGGCGTTTCTCATAGGTACTTGTTTTCAAGCTGCCATAGCATTTATACTAACTCTTTGGGTTCTGGAGTCTTGTGTTATTTTTCCATCTCATGGAACCTCTTGATAATCAGTTTGGTAACGTTTCCTGTAACAAAACATCGAAATTGTTCCATCTTGTTTGAGCCTGATAGAATTGAGAGGGAGTAGAGGCAGATGATGCATTCATCACTGAGATGGCTACTAAACTGCACATTTTGTCTACCTGCTGCCTATTTCATTGGTGATTGCCTAGGAATCATGATCCTCCGCAAACCTCAATTTGCGTTGGATCTTAGGTCATTCCAACTCATAGATTCTGCAGCAGAAATCAAGAGGCTGAATCCAAGAGATGCAGTCGAAGCAGTTCAATGACTCAACCTGCTTCTGGTTGCTCTGTGAAAGCTGGCCAAAGTAAAAGATTGATAGAGAAATGAGGACCAGTTTTCGCCGCAGCTTTGGTTGTGTGCTGCAAATCTTTGTGGCCCAAAGGTCAGACTACTCAAACAAGGCTGTTGAAATTTGACATTAAGTTCAAGAAAACTGCCGAGTTTAAGCAAACAAGGAGCTGTGACTTATGGAACAGGATTTGGAGAACTCAAAGTTTCCTTCTTGCCAGCAGCAAATCACCTCAGGCTGAACATTATGTCCAGCAATGGGTATAACTTGAATAGCATTGTGGTTCGGAAGGAACTTGCTGAATTTCCCTGGCAGTCTGACTATTGCCTTAATGAGATTGATAATTTTCAGAATCTTTCAACACCCAGGCAGTGAAGTCTTTGAGTATCTTAGCAGCTTGGAGCTAGAAAGAACTTCCCTTGAACGCAATTGATATTGAATTAATTATGGGACTTAACTGTCTTAGGCAGAATAAGGCAGTGGAGGAGCCGCGATTTGAAATTCCATACCTAAGCTGGATATCGCTGACAGAAGCACTATTAAGAAATCTTTGAACACCAAAGCAGTGAAGAGATTTCAGGCCCTTTGCATGAAGGTGCACTCAAGTAACCCATCAACAAGGTGCCCATTTTGGTTCTTCTTGATCCAATTAAAGCCCCTCTAAATCTCATCCCATCCTAGTCTCCTAGATATAATTAAGGTGTGTGTTATGTTTTGTTGGAAATATAGCTCAAACTCTGGGTCCTGCTTTATGCTAATTACTGAAGTCAACTAAAAACTAAAAATGACCTGAAGCTTTCATGACATTTCTGTAGCTACTAACATTCTAATATTTGTTTTTTCTTACTTTCTGCTGCAAAGATTTAAGTTGTATTTTCCCACAGTTTTGTTCCTTTGATATCCAAAAGTATTGTCAACTTAGGAGTAGAACAATCTGAATGAAAAATCAAGACGACTTGTTTCACAATTATTACAAAGCGGTTGTCATCTAAGATAAGCTTAACCCCAGTTTTGTTCATCATCCTTCCAATATCATCTCATTTGTCACCACAATATCTTCATTGCTTGTGGTTGGAATCTTGATTTTGGCCATATTTTAGCTAAGTTGCTGCAGTTTACTCTCTGGCACCATAGACGAGTTTATGGGAGAATTTGAAAACGTTATGCAGTGCAGTGATTGAATTTGAAAAGGGAAATTTTGTTTATTGCACTAGTCAGGTAAACGATCAAGGAGTGTTTTAACTCGAAATGGACCCAAATAATATACTCCCTCCGTCCCATAATTATTGTCCTATTTGAGTTTTTATTTCTAGTTCAAATTGTACTAAAAGTAAAATCTCAAACTGGATAATAATTTTGAGACAGAGGAGTACATACTTATGTTGTGTGATGATTGGGTTGTTCAAATTAATGATAAAAGATTCCAGCTTCTCGCATTTTTTTCACTTCGATTGGCTTGAATTATATAGCAGTATAATTTACATGTGTAAATAGATTTGTGGTCTACTCTACTCAGAAGTCAGATGATGAAAGCGCCAGGAAGATGGGGTCATTTCCTTGTCTCCCCAAACTCAAATACAAATTGGGTTCTTTCTACTTATGAATTCAATACAAGTTTTGATTAGATAACATAATCAAAGAGAGTTTCTTCTACCTCTCTCACCTATAAAATACTCTTACTAGTCATCGCTGATGAGTACAAGTCTTTCTGATCTCTTTTCTCGGTTGGCAATAAGACAGAAAAGAAATTAAACAGAGTCATCCGCAAAACAGGTGATACATGGCAAATTTATTCTTGAAGCAGGCGAAGCTTTATTCTTTCAGCCGGCCAACATACCCTGCTCAACTTTTTGAGTTCATAACATCAAAGACACCATCCCATGAACTTGTTTGGGATGTCGGTACCGGCAATGGTCAGGCTGCAACAGTTGTAAGTCTTTAGATCGATCGACTTCTCTAATTTCCTCTGTTTTCAAGTTTCTTTTTTTCCCTTGCACTTTTCCATGGATTGGTCATGGTTATGGACAACCTTTTAGTTTTTTGCATAAGGATGAAAAATATTGCTACATCTGAAGTACATTAAACTAAGCATTTGTGTTGACAGTGTTGTGTTTGGCGAAAAAGTGTGCATTAAAAATGTAAAAAGATGTATTGGCTGAGTCAATAGTTTCCAGTTTTTGCTCTGAATACTTGAAAACAAGCAAGGTTGTCAACCTAAATTTTCACTTACAAACATTGTGATCCCGAAATATGTTTTCTGTTGTTCAGTTGGCAAAGGTTTACAAGAATGTAATTGCCTCGGACACTAGCGAGAAGCAACTGGAATTTGCTCCAAAGCTTCCCAACATTCGATACCAATGCACACCTCCTAAGCTATCCATGGCAGAGCTGGAACAGAACATAGGATCTGAATCAAGCGTTGATCTTATAACCATTGCTCAAGCTTTGCACTGGTTTGATTTCCCAACTTTCTATCAGCAAGCAAAATGGATCCTGAAGAAACCCAATGGAGTAATAGCTGCATGGTGCTACACCATACCAGAAATCAACCCAACTGTTGATGCTGTGTTTCAGAAATTCTACAATGATTCCCAGCCTTATTGGGAACCAGAGAGGAAACTAGTGGATAATAAGTATGAAACCATTGATTTCCCATTCGAAGCCGTGGAGGGATTGGAGCACACTGGGCCATTCAAGTTCAAAACGGAGGAGAGATTGATGAGTTTGGAGGATCTTTTTAATTACATAAGATCATGGTCTTCTTACCAAACTGCAAAACAGAAGGGAGTTGAACTGCTGAACAATGACGTGGTCAAGGAATTTTCTGCTGCCTGGAATGAAGATGGAGAATCTGAGAAAGCTGTTACTTCTCCAGTACATCTGAAGATTGGGAAAGTTGGAATTCAGTTCTAGGATGTGTCTGACAGAGTAAGATTTCATTCAGCATTGAATAATTAGATTGGAGGATTTCCATCTTCATCTGTGGTTAGGCTTAGGCCAATGTTTGGGAATTTTGAAGAGGTAATGTGTCTAGTTTTGTTGCTTTTACTTTTTTGAACATTGAAATATTTCCAATATTAAACGCAATATACTGGTTTATCATGACAAAAACTATTCTACTTTATATTTATGGCATACTCACTTTGCATCCACACAATTGAGTGATATTGGAATGATCTTATTTAGTAGGGTCATCACCTTTGTGGATGCAAAAGAACCCACTTCCCTGGTGCATCCCAGCTCAGTTTTGGTTACCTTTCCATTTATCTCACTGATTATTGGCTTTGTGTTTCCTTTCGACCATCATCAGTTTCACTCTTCTACTTTTTTCTGTACTGAAATGATTGCTAAAAATGAAAATTTGAACTGGACAATCATTTCGGAAAAGAGGAATTACTCTTTTTGATTCCAAATTTCATTTCTATAGCTAATTCAGAAACATCCACTCAGAAGTCTGAACAACATGGCTTCCTCCACCCTCATTACCAGTATTCAATCTGCCTTGGACGATTTAGATTTGCTCATTCAACGCAATTATAGTCCGGGTTATGTTTTAGATTTCGGTTGGCGCATTATATGTTGGCTAATATCAAAATGTTTGTTCTTTCTACAATAACATTTGACAACCAAGAGAGGCTTGGACCTTTTTTGGTGGAGATTGAAGCTGAGTTTCACAAAATTGCAGAGGAAACTCACCCCCGTTGTCTTGATTCCAATTGTTCTGATGATTCCTCACTAAGAATAGATAGTTCTTACTTCATCAAATTGATTGAACTTTCACTGAAAGAGATAGATGACTGGTACCTCACTGTGTTTGATGATGAAACGCCCCGATCAACTTATCTTACGAAAGATCAAATTTTTGAAATCATGACAATCTCTTTGGAGGTTCTAGAAGAGTCTCAAACTTTCAGGCGAGGTGAATCCTTTGACATTTTAGAAGCACTGGAAGCCATGGAAGAAAAGCTGATGTTTTTGAAAAGTCTCATGTCCTTTGTTACACAAAGAGGCGTTGATCCCATAGAAGAATTGTTGCTTCACACTGAAAATGTTGCTATCCGTGCTGCATATATGCTCTATGCACATAGAAACGCCGGCTACTCTTCATTGGAAATCAAATTGGAGAAGTCAAAGTTTGTGCAAAAGATGAAGCTTATTGAGGAGGTTCATGAGACTTACACTGAAGCCCTACTTAGCTCAAAGTTTCCGGGACTATCATCGCTTTCTCCCACTCCTAAACAAGGCATGGATGATGGCGATTCACTAACCGCGATGATGAGCATCCTTGATTATCTGATATCTCTTCTTTGGAAGCTGATAGCAGTGAACCCTTGCCCAGTGAGGGTTGTGAAGGATCAACTGCGGGAGCTATTTGAACGGCTTAGATCCTTAAGAACTATCCTCAAGCAGCAATCAGCCATATTTTCAGATGGAAATTGTGGAAGGCATTGTTGCTGTGGTATGTGAAGCTGGAGTCCTGATTTTCTCATTTCACCAGATGCATACAGATCTAAGTCTTGGATTTCACGATTTATTACAAATGATCAAGAATATTTTGGAAAAATTTGGAGTGGAAGATCCACAAGTACCAACTTTTTACTTTCCCAAGACTAATCAGTTGGGTTATGTCGATTTTGTAATAGAAAAGCTGTCAGAGCTGACAAGTTGCGAGCCAAAAGTCAGCACTTGTGTACAAACCACCCAACAAGAACTTCTATGCTTGAGATCTTTCTTGGGGGAAATCTCTGAGTTGCGCAATACACAACAGGAACTCCAAAATCTATGGGATCGTGTTTTAGAGGTTGCATACCGGGTGGAGGATCTAATTGACTACCTACTGGTTGGCGTTCTGCCTGGTCCTTTTTCACCATCATCTTCTGGTTTCATCATGAATGAGATGGCAAGCATTAAGGCAGATGTGATGAAGACTTACCATCGGGAGGAGGGAGGAGAAATTGCAGTCAAAGAAACAACCAAAAGTAGTAAGGTGCCATTACAAAGAACTCCTCCAACAACAAATGGATTTGTAGGGTTTCTAAATGAGACAAGCTCAATTATGGACCGATTGATGAGAGGATCAAAGCAGTTACGAATCATTGCCATTGCAGGTATGCCGGGATCAGGTAAGACCACTTTGGCTACAAAAGTTTACAATGATCCTTCTATTGTGAACCATTTTTATATTCGTGCATGGTCTCCAATATCACAAGTAATGGACAAAATTAAAATCTTGATTGACCTCTTAAATCAGTTTGTTCCTGATGACAAATATCCTGAGATGGCCGAACATGATTTAGCAGATAGGCTGAGGCGCACTTTGAAAGGAAGGAAATATCTTATCTTTTTAGATGATGTTTGGAACAAAGAAGCTTGGAACAGCCTGGGGGGATCATTTCCTGATGACAACGTTGGAAGTAGAATTATTCTGACTAGTCGTCAGCATGATATTTCTCCTCCTCAAATGCATGATGAAGAACCTTCTTATTCTTAATTTACTTGATAAGGAAGAAAGTTTGAAGCTATTGCAAAACAAGTTAGTCACAGTAAAATCATGGCCTCCTGCCTCAAGTGATCTATTGATGCAAATTGCTGAAAGTTGTAAAGGATTACCTCTAACAATTGTGGTCGTAGCTGGACTTTTAGGAAACACAAAGATGGAAAGTTGGAAGAAAATTCTAGATGGTTTGAGCTCAGGCATTGTATCCAGTACAGAGCATTGCAGGAACACATTGGACTTGAGTTACAAACATTTGCCTGATTATTTAAAGCCTTGCTTGCTCTATTTTGGGGCATTTCAAGAATATCAAGAGATTTCAGCCAAGAGATTGCTTCATTTGTGGGTAGCTGAAGGCTTTGTTCAGAGGTATGAGATGAAAAGGATACAAGATGTTGCTGAAGATTTCTTAAATGGATTACTGCGCAGAAGCTTGATTGTAGTTTCCAAACAAAGATGGGATGGTGGAGTCAAAGCATGTCGTATTCACGACTTAGTTCGTGAGTTTTGCTTACAAAAAGCCAAAGACGAGCACTTTCTCCATATCTTGAAAGGACAGAATGAGCTTTTAGGATTTAACGAGCCACAGTACGTGCGGAGGATATGCATTTTCTCTGAGGCTAAACATTTCAAGCAGTCGAAGTTATATTGTCCTCGTGCACGTTGTTTAGTTTTCAACAAGGAGGAGGGCAAAATCTGTCTGCTAGATATGTCATGTATCATTCACAATTTCAAACTTCTGAGAGTGTTGGATATAGCGGATATTGATATTGGTCCTCGGTTTCCAACTGAAATACAATTCCTCGTTCAGTTGGCCTTCTTGGCAATTCAAGGGTCCTTCACACTAATCCCACAATGGATTGCTAAGCTTTCAAATTTGGAAACTTTCATACTTACTTCAACTGAATACTGGGGGTTGTCATTTCCAGGCACTTTATGGAATCTACATAAATTAAGGAATCTTTACATAAGGAGAGTTTTTTCTGGATGCAATTTGCCGTTAGAGAATCTAGACAGCTCATCTGTTTTATATGAGCTGGATAGGCTTTCTGGTGTATCATTTCCTATGGAAGTGAGCATGGAAAAGTTAATGAGAAAATTTCCAAACATCCGCACGTTGAAATACACAATCTCTCTGCAAGACAAGATTGTGATTCCAGAGTTCTTGAGTAAGCTAGAGTCAGTTAGTGTTCCAAATCACTTTGGTTTTCCTCGCATTTTGGAGTTTTGTTTCCCAGCACATCTGAGAAAATTGGCACTGTCAGGATTTGAGTTGTCTGGGAGAAATATTTCAATTATTGGTCAACTGCCAAATCTTGAAGTGCTCAAACTGATGGAAGTCGAATTCGAAAGGGATGCATGGGAATTAGAAGAAGGGGATTTCTCAAAACTTAGATTCTTAACATTATTTTCCAAAGGCATTGTCAGTTGGAGGGCTTGTGATGATCAGTTTGAGCTTTTGCAGAAATTGGTCTTGCGCAGTTGTATCCAATTGGAAAATATGCCCTCTTGTCTGGTGTCCATTTCAGCACTTGAAATGATTGAGGTCCTTGATTGTTCAGAGAATGTGGAAACTTTGGTGAGAAAGATTGAAGAAGAACAAGAAAATTTTGGGAATTCCCTGAGGATCATTATTCAAGGTACTAGATGATTTTCAGCACCTTTTGAAGCTGGATTTCAAGAACTGACAGAAGCTTTTGTGGATCATTGGTACTCCTGCGCTTTTATCTGATTCATCTCAAGTCTCTCCTGGTATTCTTCTCAATTCAATGTTTAATGTTACAATTTTCTTCAATTTCGGAAAAATTCATTACCCTAGTGTTTAATGTTTATTTTAAACTTCATCTGAATATCTAACGCGTCAAAATTAGTTAACATTAGAATCTAAATCTGCATATAAATATCTCCATGTTATGTGATACTGCAATATTGTTGCCACAAGGTCAATTTCATTCTGCTGTTTCTTACACTAAAATCTTTTCAGAGCATCATGACTTCTTCAGGTTTTGAATTAATGTTATCATATTTTTCAAATTTCAACCATCATTCCCAATCTTCTGTTTCCTTTTCAGGAACACCATTGTTCCTGTCAAATGACCAATTTCAATGTTCCATAACTTTGCCGGTTGATACACTTGCTGAAGGTATTCCAAGTTGATCATTGAGACCATAAGTTGTTCTTCGGATATCATTGGCAGGGTAATTTTCTGAATCTGGAATGTTAGGACGTCGGATATGTTTTCATTTTATGAAGTATTTTGGGTGTGTTTGAGAATTGAGATCATGCCTGAAGTTGGTTCCTTTTCTCTGGTCATGTAAACTGTTGATGGATTTCTCGTAGACTGTTTCCATGGAAACTTTGCCCTACTTTACTGTGTCTGATCTGATTATTGGAGATTCAGTTCACTGAGATCTGGATGCATTTAGATATTCTCTTATTTTTTCGCTTTTCATCTCTTTTCGCCTTTCTCGAAATTGGAATTTGGAAAGTTTCTAGTTTTCAGGCTTTCAAGCAGAAGTTGAAGAAGAGATGTGCTCTCTGAAATCCTCCTACGATGTCAATGTCGCATGCCTTTTCTTTTGTTTTGTTTGTTTGTTTTTTTTTTTTTTTTTTTTGCTGAAATCTCTGCTCTGCATACACTCATTGCCTGCCCCTTTGTTCAATGTCTATATGCACAGATATAAAAGATCAGTACAGCTTTAAATTAACACCTCTTAAATCCAATATTATGCTTCATGTTTGAATATGGATTGATTGTTCAGTTTGATGTGAAAATGACAAAGGAGAGGAACATTCAGAAATTCAAGGAGGAAAAAAACCTGATCTATAGTTTTTCCCACCAAAACCTGGTTGACTTTTTTGCGGCATTGGTGTTAGTTGACGAGTCCATATCCATCGAGGATTATTGGACCGGTCCATCCGCCAATTATGGTCCAACTGACCTTAGCAGAGGCAGTTTTAGAACATGAAACCTAATGGGATTCGGCTTTCATCAAGGTAATTCCATGTGTATAAATAGGATTTGTCACATCATAATACGAGTACGCTATCTCTAGCACAAAACACTAATCATATACGTTTCTTAAACCCTTTTGCTAACTTAAGTATCAGAGTGTCTACCCTCGGGAGACCTCCGAGGCCTTCTTTTGCAGGAAACCCTAATCGGAGTTCCACTATTGAACCGGAGGTGCAAATCCAAGTTTCGTCAAGTGGCAAGTCCAGTGGGACCCGAGAATTAGGGTTTAAGTCACAAAGCTTTCTCAAGCTTTCGAAACTTTTCATAACCTTTGATCGCCGCTACTAATTAGGGTTCTCTGCTAAACAGGATGGCCGTAATCGACAGACCTCAATCCAGTACAGCGTCAACAGGCAGGCGGCCAATTCCTGACGACAACGAAACCCTAGTAAAATTCTGAGAGAAGCAGAAGTGAAAAAGGAATGACCAACGGTCGAGGAAAGAAAAGACTCCCACGAGACCACCTAGTCTCGGGGATGAAAGGGAGGAAGATCCGAAAAATCATCGCAAGGGCCCCGACCCACATAATGAGGAACGATTGGCCAAAATTGAAGCAGAACTCAAAAAGTTGAGAGATGATAACAACCTCAATCAGAGGAAGAAAAAATATATATTGGAGGAATACAAACGTTGTTGTTCGCTGGATCTGCCCGATCCTACGGATCAGGAGTTACATGACCTGATTGACGAGAAAGAAGTGTGCAGGACGCTGACTTTGCTTGAAAAGAAAAAAGGCAAGCTCAAAGTTCCAAGTTAAGGAGAGGCAGAAGGTCACAGAGAAGTATCAAGCCATGAGACTTCCCAGGTAGAGTTCTCTGCCACCCTTGGTGCAACCTTTTGGGACTCATTCGGAAGAGCATATCCAGCATTCTACACAGCACTCGAGCAATTCGCGAAAGAGCATCAGCGCAAGAAGCAATCTTGCCACTAACACCGCCAAGGTTCACCTAGTGTCGAGTTGTTGTCTGAAAGGAATTGGGATCCCCCACCGAGAGGCAATGTGCACTCCTGCTTAGAACTCAAGGCTTCTCCGGAGAGGTCCTATCGTGATCACCATGACACATATTGAGACACAAGATACCCTCGGTACGGTCAATATCATTATGAGTCAATGATTGGAATGATCGTCGATAAAAGCCCTTTCATTCCAAGGATCAGTGACTGTCCAAAGCCCCGTGACTTCGACTTCCCCAAAGACTTTGTCAAATACTCGAGAGGTTCTGACCTGCAGTTATTTTTGCATGGATATGTCAAATTCATGAGGATCAGAAATGCATCACTCGATTTCATGGCCAAGGCTCTTCCATCTTACCTCACCGGACAAGCGCAACGCTAGTTCGGACAATTTCCAGAAGGGAGTATTGTCAGCTTCGAGGATTTATCAGTCAAACTGGCTACTCGGTTCTTCCCCAGTAAACAGATCACCAAGATGTCAATCGACCTTTCCTTGATCAAACAAGAACAAAACGAAAGTCTGTCTGATTTTCATCATTGCTTCAAGTAGATTATCTAGACTACAGAGACTTCCAGAGCGATTTCATTCAGGGCCTCAACCCATTCGAAAAGTCTGCTATCTTGAGGGTGAAATTTTCAACCAAACCACCTCGAAATACACAAGAAATGTGGGCCACAGTTGAAAGTTACATTCAGTGGGAACAAATGGTTAAACGTTCTCAGGAGATCGAGGTGGAAGGGATAGGCTCAAATCCGCTTCCGAGTTTAAGTTTGCTTTACCTAAGCTCGATAGGTAGTTGACCTCGCTACTGAAGCCCCGGTGAGAAATACTCCAAATCCACAAGGATGAGTTCCCTATCCCAAAACCCCTGGCTCACAACCCAAATAGGTCCATGGATCAATACTGTGAATATCACAAGGACTATGGCCACGAGAATGAAGATTAGGGAACTCAAGCGTGAAATCGAAGTCGACATGAAATCTGGAAAATTCCAACAATATGTGCAGAATGCTCCTCGACTAAAAGGAGGAAAGTTCGCGGGACCCCGTAACTTTCCTAAGAAGAACTCACGCGGTCCTCGAGTGGATAACCGGGGGAATAACTGGACAACAAGGAACAATGTGCAGCAATCTGTTCAGCAGCCCCACGACGGCGGCCCGTAGCCACTCCAACAAGTCCCTCTACCTGATCCTGCTAAGCAAATTGCTCACAATGTGGGAGCAATCTATGGTGCATCACTCGAGGTTCTTTTTACAACAGCCATGAAGGCATCAGTTCGAGAGGTAACCAAAACGCCTCCACAAGAATCTAGCCATAAACGGTTCAAGGGAACTGAAGCAATAGTCTTCAATAGTGATGTAGTCTCAGGCATCTGTCCACACAGCGACGCCATGGTTATTGAAGCCATTATAGGAAACGTTCGCGTGAGCCGAGTATATGTTGATAACGGAAGTGCAGTTGACATCATCTACAACGATTGCTTTATGAAGATGAACATACAAAATCCTGATTGGCGTCCGGCAACGTTACCACTAATGGGCTTCTCTAGGCACACAAATATCCCCAGCGGAATCGTAAGGCTTCCAATCACAATAGGGTCACATCCTTGAATGGTAACCTTAACCATGAATTTCACCATAATTAATGCACCCTCGCCGTTTAATGTGATCCTAGGATGGCCGTGGATGTGCCAAGCCTGCCTTGTTTGGTCCCCTTATCACCTAGTAATGAAATTCCCAACAGAATACGGGATAGGTATAATACAAGGGTGCAACGCAGTTCTCGAGAATGCCTTCTCATGGCAGTCAAAACCGGGAAAAAAGCAATAGCATCAGGAGGTACCACCGTTGCGTCGGAGTGTTATTCAGTTTAGCAAGGGATTTTGTCAATAGAATCCAAGAAAGAGAAATAGTCCATGGATCTCGACCTTCCTCATCAACCACCACTTAGCAGTAAAACAGAGGAACTGGTCTTGGACGAGAAAGAGTCTCAAAAGACAATCCGGCTGGTAGTATCCATAGATGGAATATTGCGAGCCGAGGTAATTGCCTTACTACACAAATTTCGTGATATATTTGCTTGGGCACCATCTAACATGACAGGTGTTCCTCGATAAATTATTGAACATAAGCTAAACGTGGATCCCAATGTCAAACCCGTGCAACAGAAAAACAGGATCTTCGTCAGAGATCGTAACGACATCATCAACGAGGAAACACATAAACTTGTTCGTGCCAACATCCTACGAGAAGTCCTCTCACTCACATGGTTAGCCAATCCCGTCCTTGTCCGCAAACCAGACCTGTCATGGCGTATGTGCCAAGACTACACCGACCTCAACAAGCAAGGATTGCTACCCTTTGCCAGTCATTGATCAAATGGTTGGAGGAATTACATGGTTTAGAACTCTTAGCTTCCTCGACGCATACAAGGGATATCACTAAATTCTCATGACTCAAGAAGATGTAGGAAAAACGGCTTACATCACTGAAATTGGAGTCTATTGCTATGACAAGATGCCGTTCGGGTTCAAGAATGCTGCGGTAACATACCAACGCCTAGTTAACAGGGTGTTCCATGATCAAATTGGACGTAACATCAAGATCTATGTTGATGACATGGTCATCAAAAGCAATCTCGGCGACAAAATAGTAGAGGACATGCGAGAAATCTTCATGATTCTCTGTAAAATCAACATGAAGCTTAACCCAAAAAAGTGTTCCTTCTGTATCAGTTTTGGAAAATTCCTAAGTTTCCAAGTCTCCAAGGACGGCATAAGCGTGGATCCTACCAATGTCGAAGCAATCCTTTCCATGGAGGCCCCTACGACAGTTAAAGAGGGGCAAAAACTCACTGGTTCTCTCGCAGCGTTGAATAGATTTCTTTCTCGTGTGGCCGAGAGAAGTCTCCCTTTTTTCAAGATGTTAAGGAAAGGAAGAATGTTCGCGTAGAATGAGGAATGCCAACAAGCCTTCCAAGACCTGAAGGAGCACCCCAGACAGCTACCTATGTTAGCCAAACCAGAACTAGGGAAAACTCTACATGTATATCTTACCGTTCGAGAAAAGGCTGTGTTTGCCGTCCTAGTTCAAAACAAGGATGGCAAAGAGATCCCTGTTTATTTTGTCAGCAAAGTATTGCAAGGGGCAGAGTCACGATACACGCCCATGGAAAAACTTATTTTAAGTTTGGTTCTGGTTGTTCGACACCTGCGCCCGTATTTTCAAGCACATCCAATACGAGTGTTGATAGAGCAGCCCATTTAACAAGTCCTCCTCAAGCCCGAAGCTTCTGGCAGAATGATGAAGTGGGTAGTAGGGTTGAGAGAGCATCATATTGAATATAAGCCAAGAACGGCAATCAAATGCCAAGCGTTTGCAGACTTCCTGGCAGAGATACCACGTTCTAATAATGTTCCAGAAGTTGAAAAGCCTAAGGGTCACCCCGCCACCCGTGTCGAGATAAACCGTCGAGCCTGGACACTATGCGTCGACGGCTCTCATTGCGACAAGGGGGGGAGGAGCCGGTATCATATTAGCAAAGCCATCAGCCGATTCTGAGATCGAGAGCATGAAAGAATATGATGCGGAGCACACCTATGTATTGAGATTCGGCTTTCCGGTTAGTAACAATGTAGTCGAGTATGAAGTGTTGATAGCAGGGTTAAATATGGCTAAAACTTGAAATTCAAAAAATCTAAGTTTTTAGTGACTCCCAGGTGGTGGTAAACCAAATCGTAGGTGATTACACAGCAAATGACGAGCAACTCAAGCAATATTTAGAGAAAATTCTCGAGTTAAAAGATAAGTTTGAGGAATGCAATATCTCCCACATCATAAGGACAAAGAGCACAAAGGCAGACGCGTTGAGCAAATTGGCTTCCTCTAACTTTGCACACCTTGTGTTAGTCACAAGGTGTGGGTTGAGATTCTCCCCGAACCTAGCGTTCAAAAAATGTCTGTAATGACTATCACCGAGGACGGCGACACTTGGATGACCCCATTCATTCGGTATCTCATGGATGGAACGTTGCCCAGTAATAAGTCCAATGCTCGAGCGCTCCAGTTGAAAGCGACCAAATACACTTTAAAAGATGGGGTGTTATACAATTTGATCTTTCTTAGTTTGGTATAAGTCCGAATAATATTCCAATGATAATTATACTCCTCCTAACAAAATGAATCATTAGTATGAAAACAAAGGCTCCGAAAATTGGCCTTTGCTAACATCAAAGTTAGGAAATTAACAGTGGGGGAAAAATTACATAAGAAAACAGAAGAAGAAGTGACTGAATTTCGTGACTTCTTGAAGTCAAGCTTTGCTTCTTGACGAGTCTGGATAAATCATGATGGGAAAACAGATGTATGGTCTTGATCTATAGATTCCATAAACATTAGTACTTAATTTCTCCCACGTAGTACCGTCGCCACTACTCTGCTTCAGAAATCGGTAGTGAAATTTGAAATGGTCACTGGTTTGAAAATTCTTCGTAGAAATTAAAATAACAAGGTTTACTATTGCATGGAAGGAAAGAAAACCATGGGAACCCAATCACCTGTATTATATAAATCTCCATTTACTGGCTTAATTTTCCAAACTCATTTCCCCATGATGATGAATAACTTCCCTGATCAAGCTTACCTCATCTGGGTTGTTCTTTTCACCACCTTATATCTCATCTCCTTTACCAATGCTGCAACTTTTAACATTACAAACCAATGTACCTACACGGTGTGGGCCGCGGCCTCTCCAGGAGGCGGCAGGCGATTGGATCGAGGCGTTTCATGGGCTCTAAACGTTGATGGGAGAACCGCGGGTCGTATATGGGGCCGTATGAATTGCAGTTTCGACGCTAATGTTCCAGGCCAGTGTCAAACCGGGGATTGTGGAGGGCGTCTAGAATGTCAAGGATATGGTAAGCCGCCCAATACCCTAGTCGAATTCGCCTTAAACCAAGCCGGCAATCAGGATTACTTCGACATATCCCTAGTTGACGGGTTCAACATCCCGGTGGAGTTTAGTTCCAGTGCCCCTTGCGGCCGTCACATTAAATGTTCAGCGCCGATTGTGGAACAATGCCCGGCTGAGCTAAGAGTTCCCGGGGGATGCAACAGTCCTTGTAACGTTTTTGGTACAAATCAATATTGCTGCACTAATGGACCTGGAAGTTGTGAGCCAACAACGTTTTCCAGGTTCTTTAAAAATAAATGTCCTGATGCTTATAGTAATCCTCAGGATGATCAAGCTAGTCTGAACACTTGCCCAAGTGGTACCAATTATAGGGTAGTTTTCTGCCCGTGATGATCTTTGGTTACGTTATTAGTTCTTGGAATATATATGAGCCTCAAGTACAAGAAATAAATGCATCTTTGATGTGCAAGGTAGGTATCTTGTGGCACACTTGTATCAATAAATGCATCAGCGAATGCATCAATATATGAACTCCCCTCCTATAGCATTGGAGGATTTTGGGTTCCACATGTTTCATTGAATTCTAAATCTAGATGCTTTACGAAAAACTAAATGGGGTAATACCAAAGAATTCCCTCTTCGTTTCTGAAACCACACAAAAATTTCTCGTGATTAAAAAGTTATGAAGCCTCATAGTTTTCCTAGGTGTGTAAAGTGAATGGAAAAGTTTCCAGTTTGTTTTTTGGCCTTTCTGGAAATTGGAATTTGGATAGTTTCTAGGTTTCCGGTTTTGGAGTAGAATTTGAAGAAGAGACGTACGATCAACTTTCACGTTAAATGGATCTGTAAGGTTACCAACTCCTACTAGTAACAATGTACTGTAACATTTTTATTCATGGTCTTCCCGAGGCATATCGTTTCAGTTCTTATTGGCTCTTCGGTTTCGAAGCTTTGTGCTATTTTTTCATGTATACAAGGATTCTGTATCCTGTTGCCCATTCACTTTCTCCTGACCTGTCTTTAAAAGTATACTTTCGTCACCTATCCATTTACTGAAACATCAGTGTTCATATTAAATGGAGGATAGTAAGCGGGAATCAATAGAGGCAGGTGAAGCATTCATCACTGAGATGGCTACTAAAATGCAGGCAGCTGTTGTGCCAGCGGCCTGTTTTACTGATGCCAATCGGTTTGGAATTGGGTTCCTCCTAAAACCTCAATTCGTTTCGTACCTCAGGCCGTTCTAACACCTAGCTTCTGCTGCAGAAATCGAGAGGCTTCTTCAAATAGGAATAGATCACAAGCTTTTTGATTCATTTCATGAAAATGCAGCCTAAACCGTTTTATGAATTCCTTGCGTTTTTGAAGTGTAAGGAGGGGCAGAGTGCTCTGCAAAATCTCGCACGACGCGAGTTCCAGTCGATAGTGGAAGCGCTGGAGCGCCAGATAAACAAGGAGCGCCACCTGATGGAATGGCATTTGGAGGACATCAAGGTTCCCATCTCGCCGCAGCAAATTACCCAGGCCTATCAGAGCCGGAGCTCAAGATTAGGTCCTGGAATGAGTATAACTTGCACTGCGTTGCTGCGGAGTCAAAACCTGTCGAGTTTTCTTCGGTAAGAATGAAGCGGAATGTAAATTTGGCGACGTTGCTGCGGAAAACCATGTGCTTGAGTATATTGATGTTGTTGGTGATTGCCAGAAGCAATTATCTTAGAACACCTGAGCAGTGAAGCGGTTTCGAGGCCTTCTGGATGAAGTTGCAACACCAGGAAACCAATCAACAGAGTGGCCACATCAGTTCTTCCTGATCCAGATTTAAGAGTCTTTCTAAGACCTTGCTCCTAATCCTGCTAGTAGGCCATTAATGTTGATTAGGATTGGAATTGGAAATGATAAACTAAGTTCTCTTAGTTTGCATTTATGTTTAGCCTTTTTTTCTTGTTTCTGGAGCAGAGATTTTTAAGCTCCAAACTCAAAACGAATTCGGGTATTCTTTTAGTGTTCTTTAATTCTTGATTTTAGTATTTATGATTGATTAGGGATTTGTTAAAAGGTATGTTGCCGTTTAATTGTCTTGAATTGTTCTATTGTTACATAAAACATCAAAGCCAGAATTGACATCCCATCAATCTCAAAAACTTAGGTTAATTTGAAGTAGGTTAATTTATTTGATGGGGTGTCAAGCCACACAAATAAATTAACCTACTTCAAACTACTGTAATATAGGGAAGCAAGGTCGTCTCCTCAAGGAACGATGGATTGTTTCCTTCAAATTAATGCAAAAGAGGATTTTAAATTATTTTTCTACACTAAGATAATGAAATACAAATAACAAAAACTAAATGAAAGAAAAGAAATCAAAGTAACAGACTTCTAACTCAAGGGACGAATAACTCAATTATTTCATTAATCATAGGCTATTAAAACTACTCTTGCAATTTAAGCATTCAACCAAAGATATATTAGGATAGCCGTAATAAATCAATTAATTTTCCTAAATTAACTAACCAAGCCTAGCACTCAATCAGTCCTTATCATAATCTGGCTGGGCACGATAGCGTTCCATGCCAAACAATGATAGCATAAAAACCAAGGAAATATAGTTGAACCAAAACCTAAACAATTGAGATAGTTACAACTATTCAGACTCTGTCTCATTGATTTCACATTTAAACTAACATGCATATTCAATGTCTCCCCAATACACATACTTTGTCTAATTGCTACTCAGTACTGCCGGTTCGTGTCTATTACGTAACATTCAACTAGCAGATAGCACTAGAAAGTAAATAACAAATCAAGTTATCAATTCGAATGAAATCTACTTTCATAAAATAAGACAAGAATCAAGAAATACTTAAATTATAGGCAAGAACAATAAATTAAGAACAAAACCTCATAATGGAATAACTGAATAAATCCCTTGAATCAGAAAGAAAATCCTTAGCCACTCGCGGACGGAAACATAGCGGCTTTAGTCAGAATTCTTAACTCTAGAGTGTAAGAATGATTGTCTTCCGGTTAGAGAAATACTAGTACTAGTAATAAGCGTGCCTTGACTAATAATTAGGAATATTAGTTGTTACGACGTGCAATCATTATAACGAGTTTATTTGTGAATGATATGGATTTGTCTTTTGAATCAGTAAGAAAAGTAGAAATAATTACTTTTATTCTATTGAAATTTTCTTAATTTTACTAGTATTATTCCCGCGCGTTGCGCGGTATCTTAAATTTTAATAAATTTTAATGATGTGAGTAATTTTTGCCCTTAACTTTAGGGAATATACACTTTCTTTTCAATCTTTTTTCAATTATAAAAGATGATAAATATTTTCATGTTAATGAATTACATTCAAAGTTCAAACTAATTCCGAACGTGATTTTTATATGCACCTATTCTATAGGTTTGTTTACAATGAAGTGAAACAAAACTTTTATTAACATGTGCTTTATCATACTTTGGGAGAAAAAAAAAATCTTACCAGATGTCTCCCATGCAATCTTGTATTAACATATGATTACAATAGATTAATGTGATGATGTCCACGTTAGAAATTGGCGGATTCCAATTTCAAAGAATGAGTGATTTTGGTGACCCAATATATAAAGGGAGAGTAAGAGAGACTAATATGAGAAAAGAAGAAAAGAATCACTCTATGTTTGGAATATTATTTTCAACAATAAATCACAGTTAATATTGCTATAAGATACACATATTTTATACTTATCTTTGTCATATTTTACTATTATTTTAAAATTCAAATTTGTTTCAATTATCTTTTGAAACAAAAAATATCATTAATGATAAGATAAAGACCACTCTATTTTTTATCCTACATATATAACAAAAAAAATAAAAAATTCCTTAATGAATTTCCTTCGCACTTTCTTTCTCCATGGATTTTTTTTCATGCCAAACAACACACCGCACCATACCTTTTGTTGCCGGTCACCATCCCAATTCCTTCTCCTCACCATTAGAGCTCTGCCATGACAACGCTTCAAGAAGCAACAGAGACTTAATTGGTTGGGTTGTATGAAGACACCAATCTCTGTGCCATTCACGCTAAAAGAGTCACCATCACGCTCTTCTCATTCATCACAGCCACTGGCATGGGATCTTCGAATTACACTTGACGGTATTTAGCCGGAGATGATCCGGCGATGAAGTAAAATATATAAGCAGCGGCTCCGGAGATTTTTGTGGCTAGAGTATTTTTTCCAGTCAAATTGATGATTCGGAGATCGTCGTCAAAAGTCTAATTTGAAGAAAGTTATTTTTTTTTTTAAAGAAAATAACCATTTGACTATGTTTAAATTAACCATATTACTTGATAAAATACTCAGTAAAAAAAATTTGCGAATTAGAAGATGACATGTGTATTACATAAAATTCTCTACGAATGAGAAGATGACACGTGTAATTGAAAATTATCGATGATCTAATTGACTGACATGTATCTTGTGAAAAAAATTCCCTTAATATATAATAAGATTTGTTTAACTTATTTGACTTCTATTTATTTAATTTGAGTAGAGAGGTTGACTTTTATTTATTTCACATGGTGTAGATAGTAAACTCCAATAAACCACCTAGTTGTTGATTAGATTTAAATTCATTATCATGTTACGTGAAGAGATTGTTTCCTCAATTGACGTAAAACACATTGGCCAGTTTTATCACCCATCGAGTCTCTGTTATAAATGAGAGAAATTAGTCATTATTGTCGACAGTAGACACTTGTAATATGAAAAAAAAAAAAAACTACTTCCGTGTTATAAAAAATAGTTCATATTGAATTTCTAAATTTGTACTAAAAACAGTACAAAATTCAAAACTCAATGTAAGGTATCTTTTTGGAAGGGATTATTATTTGTGTTATTATTATTAAAGATCTCGATTTTTTTATTTTTTTATTTTTATTTTTATTTTTTTTGCAAGGTTTTAACGAGTTTCTTGAGCTTCACTTCAACTTATTGAAGAACCAAAAGAAATACTCCTTCCGTTCTTAAAAAAGAAATTCACACTCTATTTTAGTATTTTTCTTGGAACAGATAAATAAACAAAAAAAAAAAAAAACTAGAATATCACTTTGCATCCACACAATCATAATGGAATGACCCTCAACAACTACCCACTCATCCCGGAAAACTTCAGCTGCAGTCTTGGATTTTTTGATTCCCAATTCCTTTTCCATTGCCAATTTGGATATATCCCCACTGAAGAACAACATGTCCTCCTCCGCCCTCATTTCCTGTATTCAGTCAGCCATTGATGATTTAGACTTTCTAATCGAAAGCCACAGTCAGATTCATCAAATCACTCATTTCGGTTACTGGACTCTGAGATCGAAACTGAGGAACATCAAAATGTTTGTTCATTCCACCACAACGTTTGACAACCATGACAACAGCCTGGGATCTTTGTTGGTTACAACCGAAGCTGACGTTCGCAGAATCGCAGAGGAAATTCAACGTCTTCGTCTTCATTTTGATTGTTTGGTTGATCCATTGCTTAAAAGCCAGAGTTCAGACATCCTCAAATTGATTGAACCTATAATGGAAAATATAGATGAGTGGTATCTCACTATGTTTGATGATGAAACTCGCTTTTCGGCTTCTCTTACGAAGGATCAAATCTTCGAAATCTTTGCAACCTGTTTGGAGAATTTACAGGAGTTGCATCTTTTAAGGATAGATGACGAACTGGACATTTTCCAAGCATTAGAAGCTTTGGAAGAGAAGCTGGCATTCTTAAAGAACCTCATTTGCTTTGCCACAAACAGAACCGTTGATCCCATAAAGGATTTGCTGTCTCATTCTCAGACTGTTGCAATCCGCGCAGCATATCTAGTTTATGCTTGTAGATCTGGATCTTATAAACCCGCAGGATTCAGATTGGAAACCTCAACATTTTTGCAAAAGATGAAGCTTATTGAGGAGATTCATGAGACTTACAGTCAAACTCTAAGCAGCTTAAAGTCTTCAGGATTTGCTCCCCATGCTCTCCATCAAGACATGGATGATGATGATTCTTCATCTGTGATGTTGAACGTCCTCGATTATCTGATATCTTGTCTGTGGAAGCTGTTAACACAGAACTCTTATCGTGGTTTTGTTGTCAAGGATCAACTCCAGGAGATGTTTGAACGGCTTAGATCGTTAAGAACTATTCTGAAACAGCAACCCGAGGGATTTCGGATGGAAGTTATGGAAGACATTGTCGGTGTGGTATGTGATGCCGGAGTCTTGACATTTTCATGTTGCCAGACTGAGCTTACAGAAGTTGGTATTGGGATTCAGGATTTGCTACGAAGAATCCTGGACATTTTGGTGAAATTTGGAGACAATGATCGAGTATCAACATTTAACTTTCCAAAGACTGATCCGTTGGGTTTTGTCGATTTTGTTTTAGAAAGGCTTTCGAAGCTGACAAGTTGCAGAGTTGAACCAACTATCAAGGGTTGTCTTCAAACAATCCAGGAAGAGCTTGCATCCTTGAGACTTTTCTTGGGAGAAATTGCAGGGTTGCGCAACACACATAATGAACTCCAAAATCTTTGGAATCGTGTTTCAGAGGTGGCGTATAGAGTGGAGGATCTCATTGACCACCTAATGGTTGGTGATCTTCCTGATACTTCTTCTATCTTGAAAGACATTGAGAGCGTTAAGGAGGATGTGTTGAAGACTAACCACAGCAAGTGGGGAGAAGAAGCAGAAGTCAAGGAAGTAAATACAACGATTGGTTATCGGGTGCCAGAACAAAGATCTCCCTCAATATCAAATGAAGTGGTAGGGTTTGTTCATGAGGAGAGCTCAATTATGGATAGGCTGACAAGAGGATCAAAGCAATTACGGATCATTGTCATTGTGGGTATGCCCGGAGCGGGTAAGACTACTTTGGCATCGAAGGTTTACAATGATATTTCTGTTGCAAGCTACTTCTCTGTTCGTTCATGGTTTCCTATCTCCCAGGTAGTGGATAAAAAGAAAATATTGATTGAGCTCTTAACACAGATTGATCCCAACTACAGTTATTCCGAGATGACTGAATATGATTTAGCAGATAAGCTCAGGCGCACTTTGAAGAGAAGGAAATATCTTATCTTTTTAGATGATGTATGGCACATTGAAGCATGGAACAGCCTTAAAGAATCATTCCCTGATGACTATGTTGGAAGCAGAATTATCCTTACTAGTCGTCATCATGATGTTGCTCCTCGCTCAATGCTTGATGAAGAACCTCTTAGTGTTCAACCGCTTGATAAGGAAAACAGTTTGAAGTTACTAAAAAGCAAGTTAGTTTGTCAAGATGCTTGTAGTCCTCCCTCAAGTGATCTTTTGAAGCAAATTGCTGAATGTTGTAAGGGACTACCTCTGACAATCGTCATAGTAGCTGGAATTTTGTCAGGCACAGAGATGGAAGGCTGGGATAAAATTCTAGATAGTTTGACTTCAGGCATTGAAGCAATTACAGAACACTGCAAGAACACACTGGACCTGAGTTATAGACATTTGCCTGATTATTTGAAGCCTTGCCTTCTCTACTTTGGCGCATTTCAAGAAGATGCACAGGTGTCAGCCAAGAAATTGTTCCAACTGTGGATAGCTGAAGGCTTTGTTCGGAAACAAAAAATGAAGAGGGTCCAAGATGTTGCGAAAGATTTCTTAAATGCTTTGATTAGCAGAAGCTTGATTATTGTCTCCAATCGAAGATGGGATGGTGGAGTCAAATCATGTCGCATTCACGACTTAATTCTTGATTTTTGTGTGCAGAAAGCCAAAGACGAACAGTTTCTCCATATCCTAAAAGGGCAGGATGAGCTTTTAGCATTTAATGAACCACAAAACCTACGGAGGTTATGTATTTTTTCAGACTCAAAAAGTTTCAAAGAGTCGAAGTTATTTTGCCCTCGTGCACGTTCTTTACTTTTCAATTACAGGGATGGAGAGCAATTGGACTCAACAGTGGTGCTAGATATGTCATGCATCACTCGCAACTTCAAGCTTCTCCGAGTGTTGGATATAGAGCAAATTGATATAGGTCGTCGGTTTCCAAGTGAAATAGAGCTCCTTGTTCAGCTGGCATTCTTAGCGATTCGAGGTCACATGTCACTCATCTCACCATTCATAGGTAAGCTCTCGAATTTAGAAACTTTAATAGCGGATCCATGTGGGAGCAACTTGTCATTGCCAAGTAGTTTATGGAATCTGCAGAATTTGAAGAACCTTTATATAAGGGGACGTGTTGCAAGTGGTAGATTGCCGTTAGAAGATCTTGACAGCCCTTCTGTTTTATATGAACTGGATAGGCTTTCTGGAGTTTGCATTCCTCTGGAGGTGAACATTGAAAAATTAATGAGAAAATTTCCAGACATCCGCAAGCTGAAATGCAACATTTCTGTAGAGAACCAGGATTCAAAGTATCTTTACAAGATTGTGATTCCTGATTTTCTGAGTCAGTTAGAGTCCATCAGTGTTTCTGGTCAAATCGGTTTTTGTGGTACAGTAGGGTTTTGTTTTCCGGCACATCTGCGAAAATTGTCATTATCAGATTTTGTTTTGTCTGGGAGACTTATTTCAGCATTTGGTGAATTGCCAAACCTTGAGGTCCTAAAAATGATTGGAGTCAAATTCGAAGAAGGTACTTGGGAATTGAATGAAGGGGAATTCTCGAAACTTAGATTCTTGTCCTTAGCTTCTCGAGACCTTATCAAGTGGAGGGCTTGCGATGATCAGTTTGAATGTTTGCAGATATTGGTTTTGCATGCCTGTACCCGTTTGGAAGAGATGCCTTCTTGTTTGGAGTCTGTTTCAACACTCGAAACGATTGAGATTTATGATTGTTCTAAGACTGTAGAAAAGTTGGTGAGGGAGATTGCAGAAGAACAGGAAAATTACGGAAATCCCCTGAGGATTATCATTCAATAGATAATTTTCTGCACCTTTTGAAGCTGGATTTCACAGAACTGACAGAGGATGTTTTGAATCACTGGTACAGCTGCTCTTTATCTGATTAATCTCGAACCTCTCCCTGCTATGTATTCCTCTCAATTCAGTTTGATGTTGCTATTCTTTTTTTATTCATGATCCAAAGCATTTCACGTTTGTTTCTACTTCTTATAAATTTCTCTGCCACGGGGTTAAAGTAGCATTAGAATCTGTACCTGCAGATAAAATATCTGTACATTAGGTTACACTGTAGTTTTGTTGCAACAGGGTCAACTTCTCCTTGAGTTCTTCAGGGTTTGGATCAATGTTAATATACTTTCAACAATTATTTACGTAGAGTTTTTTGTTTCCCTTTCAGGAACACAATTGTTCCTGTGTCAAATGAACAAGTCCAATGTTCCATCAGTGTTGCCAGTTGCTTCACTTGCTGAAGATATTCTGAGTTCATCGTTGAGAAGATACGTTGTTCTGAGGTAATTGGCATTGTTGATTTCTGAATCTTAGGATATTGGAAGCCTTTTTATTTTGGGAAAGTCCTTGGACAGTGTTTGTGATCTTGCCGGAAGTTGTATCTTTTTTGACATTTACGGTACTGAAAATTCGGATCTTGGTGGATATTATTTGTAGACTGTTCTGAAGATTTCTGCACAAGTCTGCATTTCTTTTTCTGATAATTGGGAATCTAATTTACGCCTTTGATGGAGTTATTGCTTTCTAGTTTCAACAATATATATCACCCTGAAATTAAAGCAGCTTCATTAACACCAAGAATTTCTCATTTCCGTGACTCCGTCCAAAATTTTAGGCTGTACTCTAAAGCCACACATATAAAATGATAATTTCAAAGTTGCGAAATTTTTAGGGTATAGTACAAGTAGGGCTAACTGGAATCTACAGAAATTAAAGAATAAGGGGATATAATGAATTAGGAGGTTGTCTTCCCATCATGGTAGGGACGCATCCTAGGATGGTTAAACTAACCATGGATTTCACCTTAATCGATGCACGCTCACAGTTCCATGTGATTCTAGGATGATCATGGATGTGTCAAGCCCGAGCAATTTGGTCTCCTTATCACTTGGAAATGAAATTTCTAACAGAATATGGAGTTGGAGTGGTGCAAAGATAGTATGAAGTTTATGGGTTTTTTTTTTTTTTTTTTTGGGTACAATGAAACAGAATGAAAGGAGGCAAAAATTGGTCATATTGTGGTGCAGCCACAGTTCTAATCGCTGGAGTTTATGTTAAATTGTTGGAATTGTTCGTTGAAAAGATTGAGCATATGGATAAAAATGAAGTTGACTAAAGACGGTAGAGAAATGAAACTTGGCTTTGCGTTTGACTCCAAAGTCCAAACCGCGTTGTTGACTTCATTTCATGACTGGACCACAAAAATGGATCAAAGCCTCAAAGGTTGCAAAGTTGCAAGTTGCAACACGATTCTACTTTCTGTTTAATTGCAGAAACAATACTTAAAGTTTTGATTGTATCCAATATCACCAGAAAGGATTAGTCCTGCAAGATAAATTTATTTGCAATCAGATACAAGAATTGTCATTATCAAAACACGAAACGGATGATATCCCTGCTAGAATTAATAAATATCTATAGTATTATACTAAGAGAGTGCCATTTTTATAAAAATTCTACAACAAATAGTTTATGTATTTACACTACAAGTCCTTATGAATTTATGGAAGTAAATTTTTTCACAGTTATAATAATAATAGTAGTCAAAAAATATGTTTGAGTAGTTTGTTTCGGATGGAGAGTTTAATTCCGGTGATCAAGGATTTAAATTAGGTATTCCATCACGTTTCTTTTTCACCCAGATGGAGAGTTTTGATCCGATGACCAAGGAATTAAATAAGACCCAAAAAAATTAACGAAACTTTATTGGTGGAGTAATAATAAGAGTATGCAAAAATTTACTTCCAGTAGGTTCATCCGGATGGAGAGTTTTAATCCGGAGACGAAGGAATTAAATTATAAATAAAATTACGATTTTTTTTATCCGAAAGGAAAGTTTTAATCCGGTTACGAAGGAATTAAATTATAAATCAAATCAAATCACGATTGTTTTTTATCCGGAAGGAAAGTTTTAATCCGGTGCCGAAGAAATTAAATGGTAAATAAATTCACGAAACCACGGTTTAGGTTACTGTAATGGTGGATATAAAAAAAAAATACAAAAAAAGGTTACTGTAATGGTGTACCACGGTATATACACAAACATTAAAAAAAACACAGAAAGGAAAAAAGAAATAAAATAATAAGCAAAGCCCTTAATTTATAGGTAGAACATCACAATGCCATTTAGCACTTTTCATTAACTGGGTTGATTGAAAAGTTAAAAAATATTAATCTATAAAGTTTTAACACAAAATCTTCTTACTTGAAACTGATCATTAAAATGAAGCCATACAAAAAAAAAATTCCCAGTACACTCCTTTTCTATTGAAGTTCGATCTCTTAATTTACTAATGAATTTGGATAATATTGTACATTTACTTTCTAAATAAATTCGTCAAATCGATATCAATTCAAGCGCTTGAACATGTTTTGGGCAAAGTTCTCAGTTTGTTCACTACATTTGTCGCAAAAAGTCTATTTGGTCCATTAGTGTTGAAAATGAGAACCATTCGTCCTATATATGAAAAATAATGAAAAAAATGTGACAAGTATAATCTGCAATAGATGTGACCAATATGTAATTTTGACGATTTTTCACTTATTTCTCAATTTATTTTAAGTTGTTTCTAAATAATAAGAAATTAAAAAATAAAGGGGTATATATGCTTGATGTTAAACCAAGATTCGAGATTCTGTGATTGTTCCAAAAAAATATAATAATTTCTTATAAAATTTTCATACGAGATTGTCACAAGCTCAGTTATCCTACTTCCTCCATTCCATACAAAAATTCTCCCCTTTTTTGAAAAAGGATAAAACAATAAGGATTGAATCTTAAACTAATATAAAGGAGTCTTAAGTAATTTTCATTCTCATGAAGTATTGTAGCTCAATATAAATCATAATACTTCTTATGATAAGAAATACTCACTCCATTTTTAGGTGAATTTTCGCATATGCACAAAATGTGTTCTTACACCCGCTGATTAATCTATGTGGTCATTTATACACTAAATATAAAAAACATAATTATTTGTAGTAAAATTAATAGCTTAATTAAAAATATAATTTTAATTAAATCAATAATAATTTACTAAAATCTTTGCAAGCTGTATTATGTATACTTATAATTATTTGATTAGTATTATTTTTTTGTGTAGTCATAAAATTTTTCCACTTTGTATAACATACAATATGTCCGTTTATTATGTTAGCGATTTTGTTTACTTTTAGTTGTATATTGCTGATACTCATCGTTTTATTACATTTTTTTACGTAAAATCTATAGAATACTGCCATTTTATAATAGATGCAGTATTTTACCTATGACGACATAATTTAATTTTACTTATATTTTATTTATTGTTACAAACCAATCATTTTATTTATATTGATCATATTTGAAAATTTGAAGTGTTTTTTTCATAAATGTATGTGAATAAACCGCGCACATCGTGCGGGTTTAACATGTAGTAAAACTACAAAATGACTAGTAATGTTATCTACATCTATTTTATAAAAAAAAATATATTTTAACATTTTTTTTAAAAAAAGATATATTTTTAACATAATTAAAAGAATAACTCAAGATCCTGGTTGACAATTAATTCAATTCGGAAGTAGTGAAACAATTTCTCTTCATATCCTCAACAAAATTTAAAATGGACTAATTCAATATTATGCTTTGTTATTTAGGTTTTCTCTTCGATTTCCTTTTCTTTTTTCGGTGGAATGTTCTAACTAAATGTCAGACTTAATTTCCATAAATTGTTTACGTAAGGAAATACTGGTTGATGGTGGAATGTTCAAGGCCATGATTGTGGCAGTTCACAGTTTAGGAGTTCTTCGAAAATAAGGTTAAAGTTGGGAGTTCACTTGCAATTAACTTGACAAAGGAATAAAAAAAAAGAAGAGGAAATTGAGGATTTAATCAAGAGGCAGCTGAACTGCTGAACCATCAAAACGCAACTATAAAAAGGGGAACAATAATGGCAGAACAAGTAACCACAAGATCCCATATACAAAGTACAAACAGCAACTCTCTTCTCAACCCTCTCAAACTCCATTGAAAAATGGCGGATTTGTATCGGAAACTGGCGAAGGAATACTCCTCCGCCCGGCCAACTTACCCGGAAGAGATGATTCAGTTCATTGCATCCAAGACGCCGGCTCACGACCTTGCCTGGGACGCTGGCACCGGAACCGGCCAGGCTGCTCAATCAGTAAGCCTCCCCTTTATACAGCTAGAGCTAGCTACCTGAAATTTCGTTTCATTTTGCTACAATATAATCATCATTTTTAATCAGTAACGAAAATGCGCCTATCTGTTCGACAAAATGTTTCTTAGAAAATTGCGCATATTCAATTTAGAGCCCAAGTCACATTATGCCGGAAGTAACTTGATTTCTTGCCATTTTTTCTAACTGCAGTTGGCTGGCATATACAAGAATGTGATTGCCTCAGACAAGAGCCCGAAGCTGCTTGAATTTGCAGTCAAGCTTCCAAACGTAAGATACTACTGTAACCCTCTTGAGATGTCCATTGCTGATGTTGAACAGAACATTGCAGCAGAATCAAGTGTTGATCTCGTAACAATTGCCACAGCTCTGCATTGGTTTGATCTTCCCAGTTTCTATCAACATGTCAAGCGGGTATTGAAAAAACCCAACGGTGTGATTGCGGCTTGGACTTACACCAAAGCCGAGATCCATTCTAGTGCAACTGTCAACGCGCTGCTCCAAAAAATTTACCTTGATTTAGATCCGTACTTTGAATCAGAGGCCAGATTGGTACTAAATGATCGGTACCGGACCATTGATTTCCCATTCCAGCCCGTGGATGGACTTGAGGATACCGGACCGGTGGAATTTAAGATGGAAAAAGCGATGGGTTTGGATGAGTTTTTCACATTTGTGAAGTCGTGGTCAGGATACCAAACTGCAAAAGATAAGGGGGTGGAAATCTTGTCTGATGATGTGGTTCAAGAGTTCAAACATGCTTGGAGTGAAGATGGCAAGGAGCTGCTTACTTTTCCTATTAATTTGAGGATTGGAAAAGTTGGGAGCTGATCAGTTTGAAGCCTTTATCTTCATCAAGTTTTAGCTCAAGAAACAATTCATTTGGGGCAGCTGATTGGGTTCTTCAAAACCATATCCAGTTTCATTGTGCCCACCGAATAATTCTGTTGGAATACATTGTATGTTCAAAGGTTCTGATTTCTCTGTGTTATGCATTGTCCAAATAATCCTGCCAACCATATCTTTGTACCCAAACTCTAATTTATCTCATGAGAGAATTCATAATACAACCTTATGAAGGTTTTAGCTCTTATATTAGTTATCAAAAATTGTTCAAATCCCTTCAATGGTATGATGTTTTGCTTCGTCAGATTTTCCATTACAATCAACATCACCTTGCGCAACCTTTGATATGTTCTCTAATCATATGTATAAGGGCAAAAATCAAACCTGCATCCTGTTAAGAAGGTTGTTGATGCCTGCCTCCTAAGGCATTTGGAAGGCTTTTCAGGTCTGCCACAGGAGCAAAATGGGCTAAGTTGCATATAGCGCCTGTCCCAAAAATAGTTGCCCAGTTTTTCAGAATGGAACTTGTTGAGGGTCATGTGGCAAGGATTGTGAATCCCACATCAGAGGCATGAGAACATGTGAATCAGTTAATAAGTAAGGTGGTCTCAGAACCCATTAGCTTGAGCTTTTGAGTTCAGATGAGTCTTATCTTACTTATTCGGCTCCATGTCGGGTTTTCTCCTCTGGATAAATCCCCAACAGTGCTATTAGAGCTACGGTTCGGTAGTTGAGGTGTTACACCAATAAAATGGAAGAGTCATCAGGTACTGGTACGATGATTAAATTGACTTCATCCAATTAGTATATGTGGAAGCCTAGAATGGAAGACTTATTGTATTGCAAAGATTTGTTTGATCCTGTTTTAGGGGATGAATGTAGACCAAGTGATGTGACTGATAAGAAGTGGGCTGATATGCACAGGAAGACTGTTGGTAATATTCGACAGTGGATTGATGAAAGTGTGTTTCATCACTTTTCGGGAAAAACAAAAGCTGATGAACTTTGAGAGAAAATCCAGAATATGAACTGGAAGAAGTCGCATCAATAAGTCATCTGCGCCAAGCAGTTACCGGGTTGAGGTACAAAGATGGTGCTAGCATGAATGAGCACTTGAGTTCGTTTCGGGGTTTGTTGAACCAAGTGTGAATGTAGGTTTAAAGTTGGATGATGAGGTGCGGTTTTGTTATTGTTTAGTTCTCTTCCAGACGGTTGGGACACTTTGGTAGTGTCAATCGAGTAATTCAACCCAGGATCTTGTCTTGACCTTGGATCAGTCAAAGAGGCTTTGATGAATGAAGAAGTCGGAAGAAAGAGCGAGTATTGAGTATGAGTCGCGAGGCTTTGGTGACGAAAAGTCGGATAGAAGAGGAGAAGTAAAGCGAGGGCCACGTGATCGGAATGACAAGTCCAGGGACGGTCTAAATCCAAGAAAGATGTCGTGTGCTACCATTGTCAAGGGAATGGGCACTTTAAGAGGGAGTGCAGGGTTCTCAAGAGAGAACTAGCAGCGAGAAAAGGTAAAGACAAGAAGGATGAATCAAGTGATGATGACACTACTGCAGTAGTAACTACCAGTGATGTATTTGTATACTGTGATGATGATAAAATTAATGTTGCGAGTCACGACAGTAATTGGTTCAGTGATTTAGGTGCGTCTCATCATGTGACGCCTCACAGACACTTCTTTACCTCTTACACACCTGGAGATTTTGGTCGTATAAGAATGGGCAACCAAGCCTCACGCGATGTTGTCGACATGGGAGAGGTATCATTGGTAACGAATACAGGTTGTACTCTTGTCTTGAAGGATGTCAGACATGTTCCGGATATGCGTCTGAACCTTATTTCCGTTGGTAAACTTGATGATGAGGGTTATCATAGTACTGAAGGTGGTGAACGTTGGACAATTACCAGAGAGAATCTTGTTATTGCTAGAGGAAAGAAGTTGAACTCTTTGTATGTGTTAAATGCAAAGTTGAAGAATGAAGAGGTGAATGCGGCTCACAATGCCTCCATTGATCTCTGGCACAGAAGGCTTGGACACATGAGTGTTAAGGGGTTGCAGATTCTTGGTAAGAAGCAATTTCTCCCAGAGGTGAAAGGTACTGCGCTAGAACCTTGTGTTGACTGTATCTATGGTAAACAACATAGGGTTTCCTTTCAAAATTCTCCTCCATATAGAAAGTCCAATCCTCTAGAGTTAGTTCATACAGATGTATGTTATATGAAAGATAGGTCGTTGGGTGGAGCATTGTACTTTGTTACTTTCATTGATGACTATGCTCGAAAGGTTTGGTGTTTTTCTTTGAAATCTAAAGACCAGATATTAGATGTGTTTAAAGACTTTCACCTTAGAGTTGAAAGAGAGACTGGCAAGAAGTTGAAGTGTGTTCGAGCAGATAATGGTGGTGAGTACAGGGGTCCGTTTGAGAAGTATTGCCGAGACCATAACATTAAACTTCAGAAGAGTGTTCCGAAGACTCCGCAGCAGAATGGCGTGGCAAAAAGAATGAACAGAACTATTACCGAAAAGGTTAGATGTATGCTCATGAATGCAAAGCTGCCTAAATCTTTTTGGGGTGAAGCCATGCAGACAGCAGTTGATTTGATCAACCTATCTCCATCAGTTCCGTTGGATGGTGATCTACCACAACGAGTTTGGACAGGGAAAGATGTCTCATTTAGGCATTTGCGAGTTTTTGGTTGTCGTGCCTTTGTTCATATTCCCAAAGATGAAAGGTCGAAGCTTGATGGCAAATCCAAGCAGTGTGTATTCTTGGGGTATGACAATGATGATTTTGGGTACAGACTTTGGGATCCTGTAGAGAAGAAAGTTTTCAGAAGCAGAGATGTGATCTTCTTTGAAGACCAGACCATTGATGATATGCGAAAGGGCGAGATGCCAGAATCTTCACCTGAGATTCCTGTTGATTTAGATCCAGTTCCTCCATAATCAGATGATTCTTCTGAAGGAGGAGCTGAGACAGAGCGGGACGGTGAGTTTAATGATGATCCTGTTACTGAAACAGAGACACCACCGGTTTCATCACCTCCTATTCAACCTAGGAGGTCCACCAGAGACAAGAGACCTTCCACCAGGTACAATGCTCATGAGTAATTGTTGCTTACTGATGGGGGAGAGCCAGAGTCGTATGAAGCCAGATTGGTTGTGAAGGGATTCAATCAGAGAAAGGGCGTAGACTTTGATGAGATATTCTCTCTTGTTGTAAAGATGTCTTCGATCTGAGTTGTGCTTGGGATAGCAGCCAGCTTGAATCTTGAGATTGAACAGCTTGATGTGAAGATAACCTTCCTGCATGGTGATTTGGAAGAAGAGATTTACACGGAGCAACCAGATGGGTTTCAGGAGAAGGGAAAGAGAAGCTTGTATGTCATCTCAACAAAAGCTTGTATGGGTTGAAGCAAGCTCTGAGGCAATGGTATAAGAAGTTTGATGCCTTTATGATAGGGCAGGGATACCAAAGGACTACAGCTGATCACTGTGTGTTGCTGAAGAAATTCTCTGATGGTGATTTTATAATTCTTTTGCTTTATGTCGATGACATGTTGATTGTTGGTCATGATACTGCAAAGATTGCCAGGTTGAAAAAGGAGTTGAATAAATCCTTTGCGATGAAGGATTTGGGTCCGGCTAGACAGATCCTTGGGATGAAAATTTCTCGTGACAGACAAAATGGGAAGCTTTGGTATCTCAAGAGAAGTATATCGAGAAGGTTCTTGATAGGTTTAACATGAGTGGTGCTAAGGAAGTCTTGACTCCACTTACAGGGCATTTTAAGTTAAGTAAAACGCAGTGTCCTAAAAGTGAGAAAGATAAGGAAGAGATGAAAAAGGTTCCTTATGCTTCGGCAGTTAGCAGCCTCATGTATGCAATGGTTTGCACAAGGCCAGACATAGCTCATGCAGTTGGTGTTGTTAGTCGATCTGGTAAGGAGCATTGGAATGTTGTGAAATGGATTCTCAGGTATCTTAGGGGTACTTCCTGATTGAGTCTTTGCTTTGGCAATGGAAAGATCATGTTGGATGGATATACAGATGCTGACATGGCGGGTGACCTTGATGGTCGGAAGTCTACTTCTGGTTACTTGATGACTTCTGGAGGGGAAGCAGTTTCATGGCAGAGTAGATTGCAGAAATGTGTTGCTTTGTCTACTATAGAGGCAGAGTTTATCGCAGCTATTGAATCTTGTAAGGAAGCACTTTGGTTGCAGAAGTTTCTACAAGAGTTTGCCATGAAGCAAGAGAAGTATGTGGTGCATTGTGATAGCCAGGGTGCTATTCACTTAGCGAAAAATTCCACATTTCATTCGTGGTCAAAACATGTTGATGTGAGATATCATTGGATCCGGGATGTGTTGGATTCCAAGGCGTTGTTTCTTGAGAAGATCCATACGGATGACAATGGTGCCGATATATTGACGAAGACTGTGAGTATAGAGAAGCTTCTGTTTTGTTGACAGGAAGCGGGTTTGGTTTTATCCCCCAATTGAAGTGAAGGGGGAGATCGTTGGCCCAGTATTCCCCTCAATTGGGTCAACAAGGAAACAAATAAAACCAAGCCAAATTGGGTCAATTTGGCTTTGGTTTTAGGAAACAAAACCCACTCCAATTGGGTTTTTGTTTTTAGGTTTTTTTGTTCTATAAAAACAAGGTTTTGGCATAATTTTTTTAAGGTGTGTGTTTTCAGCCAAAAAGAGAAGAAAAGTTTGGACAACCGTGCATTGTTTTTGTACGAGACAAAAAGAAAGAAAGCTAGGATTTAGTTTTCGGTTTAACTCTCTTTTGGTTAGATCCTTCCAGTCCAAGTTACTCAGGCCAACAGGTGGAGTACAGATTTGGGCTTGTCAAGATAATTTGGAAGCCCGATGTGGAGATTGTCCATGACAAGGGAGAATGTTGAGGGTCATGTGGCAAGGATTGTGAATCTCACATCGGAGGCATGAGGACATGTGAATCAGTTAATAAGTAAGGTGGTCTCAGAACCCATTAGCTTGAGCTTTTGAGTTCAGATGAGTCTTATCTTACTTATTGGGCTCCATGTCGGGTTTTCTCCTCTGGATAAATCCCCAACCGAACTAGTACTAGCCGAGAATCACTCCGCGCGATGCACGCAGAATTACATGCCCGTGATATAAAATATGGATATTCATAGTTTTAAAGCATGCCTGAAAATATGGAGGAAGTCCTTAGAAGAACCTTCTCGGAGTTTTAAAGCATCTTTCGGTTCAATACTTTCAGGTGCATTCATCAAAGTGGGAGTTCTGACTGCTGGACTTATAAGCTTCTGGCCAGGAAATTCTCAATTGGGTCAAAAGCTGATGAGAGCTCGTGTGGTTTTGCAAAGTGCAACTACTGCAATAATGGTTGGGGTAGCTTGGTGGCTAGTAATTTTGATTTTTTTTTTCATGGCTTTCAAAATGACATTGATCTCTCTTTTATTTGCGGTATTGTTATCTTTCTTAGGACGTAAATTAATCACGTTAATTGTAACTAGTTGAATTTAATTAAATAACTGTGACGGGCCAACTTTGTATCCCAAAAATTCAGCCACAAAAATGTCCTTGAGTCTATAATCTAGAATTGGTTTGTTGCAATGTATGGAGTTTTTTACTGAAAAAATCATCAAACAAGGGGACTGGACAAAAATAATTTGAGAAGAAAAGAGGTATACAGAAATAGTTGTCCCGGATTTGGCAAATCTGAGTATAAGGAAGATCAGGATTTGGCAAATCCGAGACAGTGGCGAGTCGGATTTGTCAAACCTGAATTCCTTCCTTCTTCAATTAAATTAATTTTAATTGAAAGATTAATTAAAATTAATCAAGGCTTAGATTTGCCAAATCCGAAAGCGGTCATTAAAAAAATAATTTAAATTTAGCACAAAAAATATAAGTATTCGAAAATAAATTTTGACTAGAAATGGATCAGCCAAATCCGGAAGAAGTGTTTTGGATTTGCAAAATCCGAATATCCGAACAAAATATTATTTTAAATTTCGTAACAAAATTCTAAGTGTAAAATAGGTAAGAGTACCTTCGGATTTGGCAAATCCGAATTCTTACAGAACCTACGGAGCTCTCGAATTTGCCAAATCCGGAGGTCCCCAAATGGTATCTTTCGGATTTGTCAAATCCGAGACATACCAGAAAACTGAAAAAATAAATAAATAAATAAAGGACTGGTTCTTACCAGTCCTATTCCTGTTTATACAGCACCAACAACCAAAATTATAGCAAACTATCCAACTAACAATCCAACTAATTCAACAACAAAACGATCATATTTTCAAAACAAAATAATGTAAAATTATCAATTAACAATTCAAAATCATTCACAAACCCTAAAAAAGCCTCAACTAACAATCCAAACAATCCAAAATCAACAATCATTTTTTCCTGAGCCTAGGAATAGTGGGCGGGGTAAATTTAACACTAGGTTGTGCGGCCTGTGGTATTTGCGAACCCTTTGTTCCTACGGGTTTGGAAGGATTGAAACAATTGGCTCCACATCTATCACTTGTGATTCTTCTCTGACAGTAAGGGTGAGAGGTACCTCTTTTTCACGTGAGGTGAAAGATCTTCTCGAAGAACAAACATCGTCCGCCATTCTCACATTGTCTCCTCCCATATCCTCCCCTCCTTCTGCATTTTCTCCTCCTGGGTTCTGTTGCTCGTGTTGGCCCGAACCTTCCGCCTGATCCTGTGATGGCCCAGAAGGACTCCTTAGCTTTCTTCCCCCTCCAATTTTCTCTCTTGGCCACAGCTTGATTGTTTCACTGCGCGGACCTTGTGAGGGGCGACTCGTATCCCACTTGACAAGGATTTGGGAATCCTCAATTTCCATCTCATCATCCTTTCCGAGAGTTAAAGTAGTGTGGGTTACGTTCGCGAAATAGTTGAGCACCTTTTCGAGCTCGTCGTCTAGGTCATGGGCTTTACGACGTTCTTCTCGGAATGATATGGCCTTCATACGGACATTGTTCAACACTTCACCCTGGAAATCAAATGATGCGTTAACTAAAGGAGTATAATTCAAAATTTATATGAATAGACTAAAATTCACTTCCATATGTAGATTATTTGCAAATAAACACTTACATAGACTTTCACCCGGCTCGAGGAAGCCTCATATCCGGTTGATGAGTAGTGACTCGGATTGTTTATCAATTTCACACCACCTTTGTTCCACCACACTTCGTACTTCTCATCAGTTTGCCCGGGCTCCCCTTCCTCCAAATCCGTAAGAATGTGCTGGGATCTCTGATTCCAATGAGGCTTTACTTTTTTATGGTGATTCACCCAATTTTTATTAGTAAGCCCAGACATGTTGTGTGAGTGAGCATACGTATTTTCTTGGATATTGGGAATCAAAGGCCATCGGGGAATTTCTTGAATGTAGTCAAACTGCCTCATGACTCTGTTTACTTCGTGGGGTTCTCGGATAGCCCTGTAGAACATCCACATCCTTGCCATCCAAATGGATTTTCCATGTTTACAACAATCAAGGAGGGTAGGGAGGAGTTCCTCGTAGGGTTGCCAAACAAACTGTGAAAAAATTGGGATTAGCGAAGAGATAAAAATAAGAATGGTGGGAAAAAAAAAATAAATTGAGAAGTGGTTAATGCTTACATCACTGGTAAGTAAGGCGGTCAATTGATCTCTAGCACCCGGTAGACTAGACCTTGGGACGTCCTTGTACGAGTACGAGCAATTTCACCTTTCAATACCATAAAAAACAGAAGGTATTATTTATCAAAAAAAATAATAAAAATATTAGTAATCTTACTATAAGAAATAAACTCGTCGATAAGCTAAAGGAGCTGTAGGATCCTCTTCAAATTTCTTTAAAATTCTTTGGGGTGTGATTCTCGGGATCCACTCGTATGCCCAAACCTAAATCAATAACAACAACAATAAATAATAATACTTCACAATAATAAATGTTATTCAAATTTTTTATTGCCACGTATTGAATAAATAAATACCTGTAGAAGATACGCACAGCCGGTTATATCACGTTTCTCATGATGACTAGCCTCGCACAGGCTAGAATACAATCTAGCAAGTAGAGCCGATCCCCAACTAAGTTTCGCACAATTATTAAAATCCCCCAAATGGTTCAATAAATATAAACCAACACTGTTTTGGCTCCTGTCCGGAAACATAAAATACCCCATAAGCCACAGGAGCACTAATCGGGCCCTTTGTTGATACACGACCTCCGGAGAACCTACAGACACAACACTTCAAACCTTAATACTTGTTTGGCCAAAAAAAATTCTATAATACAAAGGAAGTTTTAAAACTATAAATAAATTTAAATATTAACTTCAGGGATTGTACGATCCGCTACTGACTCTACAATCGAAATCTTAAGGATATTTCCACTTATTCGGTTCTCGGCCGGGGTGAATCCTAACATCTCTTGGCAAATTGATTGCCATTGCGCCACATTATTGTTTTGGTGCCATACCACAAACCATGTCCCCATCGACCCAGAGACCAAATAGGACTTCCACATCTTGCAACGTTACGGTTGCCTCACCGAATGGAAAGTAGAAAGTGTGTGTCTCAGGTCTCCATCGTTCCACCAATGCAGTGATGAGACAATTATCACACTTTTTGTAACCTATTTTCAGTAGCCCCTCGAACCCGACGCTTGCCATGAGCGTTCGTACTTGTGGAGGGAATTTATCACTATAGTAGTACTCCCAAAACTTTTGATCAAACCGACGATTTTTTAAAGGCTCGGTTTTGATCAATAAATCGGATGGGGCTTAGAAGACCGCTAAACTCCGATGATCTTTTTGAAGATACAAAAGTTCCTTTCATAAGGGACCGGGCTCAAGATTCCAATCACCATATTGGGGACTGGGTGGTGGACTGAGTGAATCCGAATCCTCCATCATTGTCTACACCACAACAGAAAAAATAAAATAAACTCCAACGATCAACAAACCACACTATATATAAGCACATTTGGGCAAAAAAAAAAAAAGAAAGAACAAGTCCACAATATATACAAGCACTCCTATATATATATACAAGCACCCCTATACACATTGCCCGGAAAAAAAAATAATAAATAATTCCTCAAGTTCACAATATATACAAGCACATTTGGGCAAAAAAAAAAGAAAAAGAAAAAGAACAAATCCAGAATATATACAAGCACCCCTATATAAATATATATATATATATATATATATACAAGCACCCTTGTATATATTGCCTGAAAAAAAAAAAAGCAATTCCTCAAGTCCACAATATATACAAGCACCCCTATATATATATATATATATATATATATATATATATATATATATATGCACAAGCACCCCTATATACATTGCCCGAAAAAAAAAAAAACAATTCCTCAAGTCCACAATATATACAAGCACCCCTATATACATTGCCCGAAAAAAAAAAAAAACAATTCCTCAAGCCCACAATATATATAAGCGCCCCTATACATATATATATATATATATATATATATATATATATATATATATACAAGCACCCCTATATACATTGCCTGAAAAAAAAATAACAATTCCTCAAGTCCACAATATATACAAAGATTTATATACATACAATAATATTTATAAACAATTCCACAATTCCACACTATATATACGAGCACCCCTACATAAACATGGCCAAAAAAAACCAAAAATAACTCTTAAACAACACTATATAAACAAAAAAAAAAAAAAAATCTAACATCCACAATTTCACAATTCCCATACATGTACAAACACGTTTAATTCCAACATAAAAACACAATAAACAACTATATATACTATATACATACTCTCGTATTTCACTACTCCAACATATTAGGGAGAAAAGAAAACCGGATCGATCATAGCTCAATTCAACAATTCAATATAACTAATGCACAATAACAATTCCCCCAAACATTGTAATGATTCCAAATACTATCACGAGTATCAATTCAATAAAAAAAATTAGGGCAAAATTAAATTGGGGATTAAATTAGGGCAAAATTAAATTGGATATTAAATTAGGGCAAAGTTAAATTGGGGATTAAATTGTTACCTTTGTATTGGAGAACGGAGTGGTGGAGAATGCCAGAGATAGTGGTGGTGCGGCGGTGGTGGTGGGCGTGTTCACGCAGGTGGTGGGGGTGGTCACGGAATTGGGGGAGAAGAAGGTCAACGCTGGACCGGAGGTGATTTCTGGAGACCGGAGGGAGTGGTGGAGACCGCCGGAGGGTGTGGTGGAGACCGGACAGAGGAGGTGGTGGAGGTGTTGACGGACTGAAATAAGGGGGGTGGTGCGGGTCGGTGTTAGGGCAAAATAAGGGGGGGAGGGGGGGATGAAAATGAATTGGGGGAAGAAGAAGGTCAGCGACTTTTATACCCCCCGACTGACTCGGATTTGCCAAATCCGAGAGACCGTTTAACAGGGCCTTCGGATTTGGCAAATCCGAATTCTTATCAGGAAAATTGAAGCCCCAGATTTGCCAAATCCGAGGGTTACCAAATGGTACCTCTCGGATTTGACAAATCCGAGGGTTACCTAATTCTTTATAATGTTTATTTTAGTGTTATCAATTCCCAAAACCTGTAAACATCTAACAATTAACACCACACTATACTCTATGATAATACACAAAAAGTTCAATACAAACATCAAACAAGATACGAATTTAACAATCAATCCAATAGCCAACACTACATAATAAGGTGTTCTACCAAATACTACAACAAACTAATCACTTTGATGCTCCCATTCGTCCACCAAACGTGTTCTATCTACTTGGGGATGCGAGTGAGGACATGAATTAGCATCGTGATCTCCTTCGCATCTCGAGCACAGGAATCCATTTGCATTACTTGTTCACCGACCACGGTAATCCATTTGCATCTTGCGTCTCCTTCTTTGGTGTCGGCCCAGACCGCCATTTTGCACAAGCTTCTCGTAATTAGGAAAGAGTTGCCAATCAACCATAGGCCATTGTTGCTCATCAGGCACCGGTGAAAAACCATTGTATTGGAATTGTGTGATCCATGTTTCGCAACACTTATGGTATAGGGAAACATGACGATCACCTTTTTTACGTGCGACAGAAAGTGCGTGTGTACACAGCATCCGGTACTCTTGCCGTTTCTTGCATGAACACTTTTTGGCGTTATAGGTAACCGTATACACCATCCCACCCCTCCCACTATGCCGTGTCGGCGTTATCACCTCCCAACGTTCATTGTCACCATCAAACGGTTGAGCATCATAGGTGGCGGCTTTATCGTTCTTCTCTTCGTATACTGTCCATAGCTCAGTGGGGATCGGTGTATCACAACTCGTCGCCAATAATAATTCATCTCAGCAAAATTTCACGGTTTTGTGGAATGTAGCATCGATCATAGCTCTAACGGGCAAAAACCGGATTCCTTTTAGGGCATTGTTGTAACTCTCGGAAATGTTGGTAGTTGTGAGTCCCCAACGATGACATCCGGCTTTCAAACGAATCCAATTACACCCCCCTGTGTCACAAAGATACTCCCATGCTTCAGGGTTAAATTCGCGGAACTCTTACCTCAATCGCTTGAATTTTTCCAAATTAAGTGTCTTCCCCATCCACTGGCATAACCGCTTGAT